TTGTTGTTATTATTGTTTTAGCCACAGAGCAAAGCTCTTCAAAGTTTCATCAGGTAGGCAGTTGCCTTTTTAGATTTCCTGTACTGATTAGTCTCCATTTATTCCGGGGGGTCATGTTCCGAACCCCTGTGCCCATACGCAAAGTTGCATAAAATGGGGTGGACCCTAGAAAGCCCTCCTGGCTCCAGCGGAGACCCACCCTGGAGCCCAAAGAGGACCTCTTAGGGCTCTGCGGAGGGTCTCCTCATGAGCTGGTGGGCCAGTGGGGCTTTGCTGAGAGTGCTCAGCCTCCCCGCCTAACAGCTGGCATGTGGGGTGGTGCAGCAGTAGCAACAGCCACTGCCCTGCATGTCAACTGAGGAAGTCCTGTTGCCCCTCCGGCTCATGCAGAGACCCTCCTTGGAGTCCAAAGAGGACACCCTCTTCAGGCTCTGAGGAGGGTCTCCTCACAAGCCAGAGGCTTGTTGAGGCTGCTCAGCTGGTGCACAGGAAAGCTGTCCCGGCCTATCTGTCCGACCCCCAGGACTCTTAGTGGACCATTCTTTCTCCCCAGGTTAGCTACATCCCACACTTGGTCCCCTCCACACCCTTCTTGAGTGTTTTGCTGACATGTCTGACATGTGTCTTTGAACTGTGATTATTCCTCATTCCTCATGGAGGATAGAAAAGTGTGTGTGTGTGTGTGTGTGTGTGTGTGTGGTTTTTGCATTACTGGAATTTTGCATGTGCAAAGCTAAGACCGCACCAGTTGCTCTGCCCATTTTTGACTCTGGCCGCATCCATCACTGGCTTGTGGCCCCTGGAAGGAAATGTCACCCTTGGACCGAAAAGGTCTCTCTGTCCCAGAGAAGGACAGCAGAGTCCTTCTTACGTGCTTTATTGCCTCCCACTCTGAAACGGTTGTGTTACAAAATACCTTGTGTTTTGTTGCATTTGGGTTGTGCTGTTTCTTTCTCCTTCCAGCTTAGTCCTTCTGGTTTGTTTACGTTTATTCATTAGCAATTTAATGTTAGATGCTTCATCATGGGAGGCTGTCGGGACGGGGAAGAGCAGAGGGAAAATGCCAGGAATCATTAGTGTCTGTTAGCCACCGCTGCTCATCAATCTTGGCAAAGAGGGCAGCCCATCAGTTCTGGACTGGTGGACCTGTGATGCAGAAACATCATTAACAGTTAGAAATTGCATCTTTTTCGGGTCAGCTCTTAATGGCTAAGAACTCCCTCGCAATTTGCTTTGCCAAGTAGTACCCCCATCCGGGCTGGTTCCAAAATGACCTCATTCAAGCAAGCCGGCCCAGAAATCAATTAAGGACTGGGATGAGCTCAAGTTTGCAATGGTAGCCAGGTCTAGAATCACATCCTGCATCCCCGTGAATAGTCTTGTAAACCAGTGCTCATCTGGGGCAAAAAAAAAAGGGGGGGATTACGAAAGTTTTCCAATTGTACGCTTTACAAATGTTGACCCCTTTTCCCCTCTGCATTTTTACACATTGCTCAAATCACAGACCATCACTCCTTAGCTACCATTTTTAGAAGACTATAAGAGGTGTGTGATTCAGCTAGAATTGAGCGGGGGATCTAGGAGTCAGGCTTAAGAATTTCATTAAAGGCTGTGTACCTTGCCTGTCCACACAGTAGCTTAGACACTGGGTTTGAAGGCACAAATGGACCAACACAGGAATAGTGAACCAGTAGCTTTCCAGATGTTGCTGAACTCCAATTGCAATTCCTTCCAATTGAGGGGAGAGACTCCCATCAGGCAAGGCCTCCTTCCACCTGCCTTGCTCTACCCTCTGCTTCTCAATGTGTATTGTATTGTTTTATGTACTGTGGCTTGTCATTTTATTGATTATAGTTTAGATATTATTGTAACTGTTGAGTGGATTTCTGTTTAACTTTTATATGTTGATATTATTATTTTATACTATTCTAATGATTGTTGAATGTTACTTTTTTGATGGAGGTTGCCTATTTTAAAGTTATGTTTTATTATCACATTTTTGTATTGCATTAGATTGTTACAAGATGTACATTTTTTGTTTCTTCAGCATGTCAACCACCTTGAGTATTGTAAGATAGAAAGGCGGTATATAAATTAAAAATGATGATGATGATGATCTCTGAAGACTGGCTGAATGAGGGCTAATTAACTGAGACAATCCTAGCAAGACAGAGACCCTGAGGGTGGGGGATCTCTGGATCTAGGTATTGCCTGTTTTGGATGTGGTTGCACACCCTGTGATGGAGCAGGTACACAGTGTGCCTGGAGTCAGCTCTGTCACTGGAGGTCCAAGTGGCCTTGGTGGCAGGGAGCACCCACTACCAGTTTTTGTTTTGATGTCCATTCCTGGATAGGAATAATCAGGCTACTTTGGTTCACGCATTGGTAGCCCCATGGTAACGCTACTGTAATACACTATGTATAGGGCTGCACTTGTTTAATAAGCTGTAGCCAGTGCAGAATGCAGCAGCTAGCATGCTCAAGGCTATACACATATTACACCCGTGGTGAAAGATCTGCACTTGCCTGCCTGTTAGGTACTGAGCTTCAATCAAGGTTTTATCACATAAAAGCCCTAAACAGCTTGAGACCAGGTTGCCTAGCAGAACATTTTCCCCATTATACCCTTGGAAAAATTCTCAGACCTTTCATACTCTGGAAAGCCACTGCCAGTCAGTACTGAACTAGCCCGTAAACCACTGAGCCTAGGGCTTGCCGATCAGAAGGTTGGCGGTTCGAATACCCGCAACAGGGTGAGCTCCCGTTGCTCGGTCCCAGCTCCTGCCCACTAGCAGTTCAAAAGCACGTCAGAGTGCAAGTAGATAAATAGGTACCGCTCCGGTGGGAAGGTAAATGGTGTTTCCGTGCGCTGTTCTGGTTTGTCAGAAGTGGCTTAGTCATGCTGGCCACATGACCCGGAAGCTGTACGCCGGCTCCCTCGGCCAATAAAGCGAGATGAGCGCCACAACCCCAGAGCCGTCCATGACTGGACCTAATGGTCAGGGGTCCCTTTACCTTTACTACCTTTGAAGGTGACCCAGAAAGTACAACTAATCCAGAATGTGGCTGCAAGACTGGTGACTGGGAGCAGCTGCTGGGACCATGTAACATCAATCTGCATTGGTTCCCAGTATATTTCTGAGCACAATTCAAAATGTTGGTGCTGACCTTTAAAGCCCTAAGCGGCTTTGGCCCTGTATACCTGGGCCAAAGCCATTTCCTTCCCCATCGTTCAGCCCTGACACTGAGATCCATCTCCAAGGGCTTTCTGGAGGTTTCCTCAGAAGTAAAGCTATAGGGAACCAGGCAGAGGGCCTTCTCGATGGTGGCGCCCGCCCTGTGGAACGCCCTCCCATCATATATCAAGGAAACAAAGAACTATTTTAGAAGACATCTGAAGGCCCCCTATAGGGAAGTTTTTAATCTTTTACTGGATTTGATGTTTTAGTTTGTTGGAAGCCACCCAAAGTGGCTGGAGCCGCCCTGTCAGTTGGGCGGCATATAATAATTTGTCATCATCATTATTATTAAAGGTAAATGTAAAGGTACCCCTGCCCGTACGGGCCAGTCTTGACAGACTCTAGGGTTGTGCACCCATCTCACTCTAGAGGCCGGGGGCCAGCGCTGTCCGGAGACACTTTCGGGTCACGTGGCCAGCGTGACATCGCTGCTCTGGCGAGCCAGAGCTGCACACGGAAACACTGTTTACCTTCCCGCTAGTAAGCGGTCTCTATTTATCTACTTGCATCCAGGGGTGCTTTCGAACTGCTAGGTTGGCAGGCGCTGGGACCGAGCAGCGGGAGCGCACCCTGCCGCGGGGATTCGAACCGTCGACCTTTCGATCGGATAGCCCTAGGCGCTGAGGCTTTTACCCACAGCGCCACCCGCGTCCCTATCATTATTATTACATGGACCAATTGTCCAGCTCTGTACAGGGCAGCTTTCTGTGTTCCTAATGTTCCAGGTTCAATCCATTCCCTTTCTAGTTATTTATCTAGATGATTTATATACTGCCCTGTGCACAGGCCAAAGTCACAACAGGTAGATAAGAATTCATAAAATCCATAAAAATGTAATCCATTAAAAATGCACAGTAGCATCAGTTGCTTCCAGTTACTAATAGCAACAGGCCTCTTCTCCTCCAAATGTCTTCTGAAAATGCTGCACCATAAAAGGATCTGGTAGCAGATAATGGGAAAGATTTCAGTCTCAGAGCCTGGACAGCCTCTGCTGGTCAGAGCAGACAGTATTGGTCTAGCAAGTTGCATAATCTGACCTGTTTTATGGCGGCTTCCTATATTCCTTATGTTTTGCAGGGCAAAACAACAATTGTTGCAGCTTTAGCATAAACTGAGGTGGTTGATTTGTGAAACGCACAAGTTTGGTCATCTAGCTCAGTTTTGTTAGGCGACCTGGGATATTAAGTATTCAAATGATAATTTGGAACAAGAAATACTCTTACAGAGAATCACCACCACCTCCCAGGTAAAAATAAAAACTTGGCTTGGAGTTTTGGATGTGCCTTGAATTTTGTAAAGGAGCTTTGGTTAACTTACAGGCAAAGGCTTTATTGGGTACCATGTGGCAATTAGTTGGAGAAGGGAAAGAGATTGCAGTTTAATTAATATTCTAATCCCAACGTTAACAATCTTCCTGCCAAGTCAGCAAGGCTGCATGTTCTGTTTGCAATCCTTGTGATTCAGCCGGGGTGACATTCGTCAGCTCCCTCCAGAAAAGAAACCCACTTGTAAATTTAGCTCAAAAATTAGCAAATGTCAATATGTCGCAGAAAAGTTTTAATCAGGGCTGTCACATAGCAGTTTTTCTGTCGACAAACACAAAGAGACCTTTCATGCAACATAATTTACACAATCTTCACTAGCATAAAGTGTGAATTAAGGAGTCGCTCATTGGCTCCGGGCATTGAAGTAGAATCAACCTCCCTCTGTGTGTTTTATTGTTATTTTGAGAGGGTTTTTTTGTTTTTTTAAACCCTGCAGGTAAATAGTATTACCAAGTGGCTCATTCTACACCCTCCATACACACCAGTCATGAGGCTCTTGCTGCTTTCTGCTTGCGTGATGCTATTGACCGCCTCCCGAAGTGCTGCCGTCAGCTTCCCAGAAGACGACGACCCTATTAATGTTGTCGACTACCACTGTGAGTAACCAGCGGGAACAAACTTGCCATTTATTTTTTTGTTGTTGAGGGAAAGCAGTTGTTCCTTCTGAGATTGACTTGGCTTTTCACTTATTAGGCAATTCCATCATTAATAATAATAATAATAATAACAATAATAGCATTCAAAAGTGTGCAGTAAGTTCAAGTTTGTTTGTTTTAAAGCGTGTTTGCAGAGTTCCTGCTATTTATTCATTTATATTCAGCGCATTATGCAAGGAATTTAGTTTAAGCCTTCTGCTCCCAGTATATACAGCTAATCAATGTTGTCTATTGATTCTTTAGCTCTATAATCCTGAGTGATGGCGTAACCCATTTTTACTTGCAGATTCAAGGCAATATCCAGTATTTAAAGGACGCCCTTCAGGCAATGAATCCCAGCATAGGCTGGACTTTCAACTGATGTTGAAAATTCGAGACACACTTTATATTGCTGGCAGGTAATTTTCCCGCAGTCAGTTGATTAAATTAAAATTCTCTCTCCCTCCCTCCTACCCACCCCTGCCCTGGTTGGTTTTGCATTTAATCTGTGCACCTTGTTTAAAAGTAATCTGTAGAGAATGGGATCGGGAAATAGAATTGGAAGGGGGAAATGAATGCACAGAGGGAGAGGGACACAATATATTACAGAAGAGAAGCCCTGCTAGATCAGACCATCTAATTCAGCCACCTCTTTTGAACAGGGTTCATACAGATACCCCCAAGAACCCCAATAGGGTTAAATGGTAATGCAAGTATGAGACACATATTTCTAGACTGGAAACCAGGTATGTGCGAGTGTATCAGTCCCTGGCACTGCCAACTGCCTCCCTTGAGTAGGTGTCCTTGGTACTAGGGAAGGAGGAGAAATGCAATTAAGTTGGCAATTAAAGGGGAACTTGCCTAATTCTCACTTTCTGAAACAATAAACGAACCGGAATGCCTCCAAAATGTGCACTTTTTCAAATTTATAAAGATGCAAGTAATGTGTCCCCAAACCCCTTAGATTATGGTAAAAGCATGCATAAAAACCTATGTATTGGCTGAAAATAACATGCTAAAGTGCATTATTTAATGGCTTGAGAAAATGTGAAAAATGGTCGGAAATTGTGTTTATTCGGGGAAATCAGCACTAAAATGCGGACAATTTTTCAAAAAATGTATTTTTTGAAAAGTGGCAAATCTCTGCACGAATCGTGGCACAAATGAGGAGAACTGTAATGAAATGAGAAACTGACAGAAGCCAAATTGACATATTCTTCCATCCGTAGTTGATTCCCAAATGCTTCTCCTCCCAGTGTAGTATGACCCAGCTATATGGTGTGGAGGTTTTATGGATCTGTTCCAGAACTGCAGCTGCAGGGAGAGGGAGTTGTGGGGTCAAACTCCTTTGAGGGGTATTCCTGGCCGCTATCTGAATTGTTTGTTTTCGTTTTTCCCCATTTTTGTTCTCTGTCCCATTAACTTATGGAAAGTAAGCAAGCTCATACAGACATTATTTTACCCAGTTGACAGTAAGTTTACTCAATTGCTTCATCAGTAGTAAATGCAGACTTGCCTTCTGCTATTCTGCCCATTTGGTGCCCTGGGATAACTGGATTTTTAAAAATTTAACTTGTATTTAACTTGATTCTTTGTAACTTTGAGAAAACTATTTGACTTTAAAATAAATGTGTGACTGTTGTTCTGCCCTTATTCTTCACTATGGGCCTTCTCTATGGCATAGCAGAAAGGGTCCTTCTGCAAGATAGTCACCCGAGTAAGTGAGCTTTGGTGCCATTACGAAGTTCTCCTTCATAATGCCGGTGGCACAGTATCCCCATTTCACAGAACGAGGAGGGTGCTATTTGGATATTCATTCCCTTATATATATAATTATTATTATTATTTATTGGTTTTCCAAATTAATACAAATCGGTCCAAATTATTTAAATTCAATACAATTTCTTTTTAAAAAAATAGGTTTCCCACTCCTGTTGCAAACATATGTTGATTGCTTCCTGATGAAGAATTACTTCATTCTTCTTTAATCTCCTCTTCATCCTTCTCTTGATGTTAGTCCATTCTCACAGCTGACCTCTGTCATGTACATCAATATAAAGTCCATTTCATGTGTGTAGTCCTTCATAAACGCTCTCAGATCTGGTCTGTTGAGAGTAAATGTTCATTTCCTATTTGGGTGTTCGTTCTCAGTGAGTTGAGGGGGTTTGATGGTGTCTTATTCCTGCTTTTCCCTCTGCTCTTACAGGGATCAAGTTTACACTGTGAACTTGAACGACATTCCAAAGGGAGAAGTTGCTCCAAGCAAGGTATTGGAAAAACAGCTTAATTGGGGGGGGTTGTTGTTGTTGTTTTTAAAAAAGAAACAAGAATAATAATTCTACATTAAACATTATAATGTTCTTATTTTCGTTTCTTCTTTTTATTGGAACAGAAATTAACATGGCGGTCAAGGCAACAGGACAGAGAGAACTGCGCCATGAAGGGAAAACACAAAGTACGTTTTGTCTCTCCGCTCTGCCATACACCTTTTTTTTTAAGCAGGAAAATATTTAAATCCTTGTTTATGTTTTTAAAATTGGGCTGGAAGCCGATGTACAACTGATAATGAATGAGGCCCCATCTGAATAGTATGTTCAAAGCAGTATCATGTCATTTTTAAACTGTCATTGCTGCCCCCAAAGAATCCTGGGAACTGTAGTTTATTAACGGTGCTTATTCCCCTCACAGAACTACAATTCCCAGAGACCCCCGGAAAGAGGGATTGATTGTGTTAAACCACTCTGGGAACCACTGCTCTGTGAGGAGAATAGAGGTTTCTTAACAACGTTTTGCACCCATAACAAACAACTGCACTGGGTTTTTTCCCCTTACAATCAAGCCGTATTAGTGAATAAAAAATACATACATACAGTTCCTAGGATTCTTTGCCTGTTTCAAGTGATATGATACTGCTTTAAATGTATCGTTGAGATGGGACTTGGATTCTACTTACAGACACAAGAATTTGCATTTTATGTAACTGGAGGCATCTTTTCCAGTTCTGGGGAGTCTCCTGGATCCAGTTTTGCCCCTGAATGCTCAGGTGGCCTCAGTATATAAGAGCATCTGTTGTCTGCTTCAGCTGATATGATAACTGTGTCTCCTCCTGGCCCTTGGTAGCTTTTTCCTCAGTACTCCAGGCATAACCAACTCCCAAGACTGGATTACTGCAATACACACCATGTGTACAGAAACTGCAGTTATTGCAGCACAATTCCTGGCAGGAGTGAGATTTTGTCAGCGCTGTGCTCAAAGATCTACACACATCCTGCTGATCTATTAGAAGTCCAAGTTCTAACAGGTTACAATTCAAGGTGTTGCTGTTAGTATATGAACCCCATAACAGTTTCGGCTCAGTTTTCTTGAAGACCTTATCCCCTATGTGCTCACTCAACCCCTTCATATATAGAACTGGCATTTTGACAAGTGTCAGCCAACGTGCAAGAAATCAAATCTTTTAGTATGGCAGTGCTTTCACTTTGGAACTCCCTGCCGATTGATGATATCAGGCAGGCTCCTTTGCTGTACTGTTTATGACATCTCCTAAAATCTCTTTTGCTTATGCAAACCTACCTAGACATGTAATTTTATTGTGCATATTCGTTTTAAAACTGTTGATTTAAAAACTCACTTTTATTATGTTGTACTTGTTGTCAAAGCGACAGCTACTTTATATTTTTATGTAAGCGGCTTACAGGGTTCTTCTGATTAAGTGGTATATAAAATGTGTGTGTGGTGTGTATTCATAATAAATCACACTCAGAAACAGGTATGTTGCAATATAAATGTCAGGATATTTTGAATTTTTATCTCTTTTAGTTTTGTTCTTGTGCCATTCAAAATTTGTCATCTCGACATTCTACTTCTCTAATAAACAAACCGTATTTGTGAGTAAATGGTAACGTAAACCAGTCTCTCTCCTTCTTTTCCAGGACGAATGCCATAATTTTATTAAAGTCTTTGTCCCCAGGAATGACGAGATGGTGTTTGTCTGTGGAACCAATGCATTTAACCCCATGTGCCGCTACCTTAGGGTAAGGACCTCAGTGCACTAAGACAGAAGCTTCTCTACATGTTGCTCTTGTGGGTATCTTCCTCATCATCGCCTCCAAGGAGATGAGGGTGGTGTTCATGGTTCTCTTCCCTCTTGTGAGATATATGAGGCTGACTTGATAGTAACCAGCCCAGATTTAGCCAGTGTACCTCATCAACCCCAGCTAGCATGGTCCATAACCAGGGATGATGGGAGTGGTAGTCCGAAACCAGCTGGGGTTGATGAGACTTGGAGTCCATCAGCATCTGTTAGGCTACCTCTGTTCACCCAGTGAACAGAGATAGCCTAAGTGGGGAATTCAACCTTGGTGTCCCAAGGTTGCATTCTAGCCACACTGGTTCACTTTTATGAGCAATCCTCAGCCAAAGCCCTGCTGATCTGGCTGGACGTGATGTGAACCAGGGAGCACATCAGCAAGCAGGGCTGGCAGTTGTTTTTTAGCCATGACTAGTGGCTCATCAAGGGACGCGGGTGGCGCTGTGGGGTAAACCACAGAGCCTAGGACCTGCTGATTAGAAGGTCGGCGGTTCGAATCCCCGTAACGGGGTGAGCTCCTGTTGCTCGGTCCCTGCTCCTGCCAACCTAGCAGTTCGAAAGCACATCAAAGTGCAAGTAGATAAATAGGTACCGCTCTGGTGGGAAGGTAAACGGCGTTTCTGTGTGCTGCTCTGGTTCGCCAGAAGCAGCTATGTCATACTGGCCACATGACCTGGAAGCTGTACGCCGGCTCCCTCGGCCAATAAAGCGAGATGAGCGCCGCAACCCCAGAGTCGGCCATGACTGGACCTAATGGTCAGGGGTCCCTTTACCTTTACCTAGTGGCTCATCACTGCAGAAAGCTCTGTTCCATGCTGGTTGCAGAACCAATGGCGAGAAAGCTGTTCTGACCTCTGGCACCAGGTCTGAGGACTAAAGGCTCCTGGGGTGAGGCTTTACGTTTTGTGTTATTGCAGCCTGTTGTGATCTGCATTTGAGAATCGTTTCCTTGAAAGGTAGGATCTAAACCCTCCAATCTCCTGTACTGCTCCTTTTACAGTGACTAGTGTAAAAATCTTCATCAAATTTTCCAGGATGATCAGATGCATTTTATGTCCTTCTTTCGAATCAACTTGCATCCCAGTTTGACCAAGGGCTGTGTTGTGGCAGACAGCCAGGAACTGATCCCAGACACTTGGAGTTGATGAGAGGATTATGATGCTCATTTTATTTTACTCTGTGTTATTTTTTGTCTGCCTTACCTAATTTTATTCTCTTTTACTCTGTTATACACATTCAGTTAATGTGTGTTACGTGCTTCGTATTTTGTTTCCTTAGTGCTGGTCATTGACTGTAGCAATAAAAACGTGGTCTTCATTTGGTGTCGAGCTGAGAACTGGGGGTTGATCCAGTGCTAGTCCTCCTCAGAGTAGACCCATTGAAGTTAATGGTCATACTAATTTAGGTTCATTAATTTCAATGGGTCTGCTCTGAGTAGCATCAGAAACAACCCTGTATCACAAAATTTGGAGGGATGCAAAATCCCAAGGATTATTACGTTCCAGCCCCAGATATTTGGAGTGGAAGATGTGAATTAGGTTAGTTTGCTTAAAAATGTGGACTGAATGAAATTTTCTCCCACTGTTGTTCCCCAGAGCTGATAATTTAGTGGCATTCTGCCTCCCTGAACCTGGAGGTCACATACAGACATCATGACGCATAGCCTTGTGGATGTAAAAGCTATCGTCCTTTGCACAGCTCCTTGAGGACCAGTTCTTAAGCATTAAATGGAAGATTAGATCAAGTCTGACAGAGTGAATGATGGTGTATGCAAAGCAGCATTGTCCCCCCCCCAAAAAAAATCACACTTCCTGCAGAGCTTGATGTGACACCGCCAAACAATTTATTTTTCTTCCACAGCTGAATACCTTGGAGTATGATGGAGAAGAATTCAGTGGCTTAGCCAGGTGCCCGTTCGACGCCAGGCAAACCAATGTCGCCCTCTTTGCTGGTAGGAACATTTTCTCTCATGAATCCTGGTGAAAAATGATACAGAGAGTGGTGCGGAGAGGACGGGAGATTTTCGAGAAAGCTTAAAGAAATTGTATCACATCAATGTGCCTCTGCAGAGGGGTTTTTTCTTTAAAGTCTAATGCATCTTTTTGGGAAATTAGTAATCACATTGTCAACTGGTTTAGGTTGAGATGACAAAATGACACACACCCCTGTCCTGGAACATTCTGGGCCCCAAAGTAGTTTCTTTTTCTGGAGCCCTGGTGGTTTGATCAACTTTTAATTAAGTTATGACTGGGGTGGAGGAGAGAATCCTGCTCACACTTCCATTTGCAAGTAGGGCTTTCAACAGACTGAAGAAATCTTACATTGCAATCCTATAGCTTAAATGGGGCATACATTTGAGTAGAACTGCACTGTTAATTGATTCATGAATCAATTGACTCTGCACAGATTTGTGGAGGGGCGGAGGATGGCATTTCGAATTAGAAAAGGAGTGGTAGAGGTTCTCCTTAGTGTGTGTCTTCAAGCAGAGGCTGGGCAGTCATCTGTTGAGCACAGTGGTACCTCAGGTTACAGACGCTTCAGGTTACAGACGCTTCAGGTTACAGACTCCGCTAACCCAGAAATAGTACCTCGGGTTAAGAGCTTTGCTTCAGGATGAGAACAGAAATTGGGTGGCGCGGTGGCAGCGGGAGACCCCATTAGCTAAAGTGGTACCTCAGGTTAAGAACAGTTTCAGGTTAAGAACGGACCTCTGGAACAAATTAAGTTCTTAACCCGAGGTACCACTGTATGTTCTACCTCTGGAATTCCCAGGGGCTTGTGGATTGGGTGGCTCTGATTCCTTGGGTTGCATCCCACATTCTCCATCCACTAGCGCAAGGGATCTTGAGCGGGCAGACAGGTGAGTTTTCATTTTGGGGAAATTGCACCAGCAAAAACTCACTGCGCGGTCTATTGTGCAACAAAGTTACCAGCAAACCTGCTTAGACATTTTCTTGCACAACAACAAAACATTTCACCAGCAGAAGTATGCCACTAAGTGACCTTGACATGGTGCTAAATTGGAGACAACCCTTTGTTTTTAGATGAAGCACATATACATTTATTTATCTATCTATCTATCTATCTATCTATCTATCTATCTATCTATCTATCTTTCTATCTATCATCTATCTATCTATCTATCTATCTATCTATCTATCTATCTATCATCTATCTATCTATCTATCTATCTATCTATCATCTATCTATCTATCATCTATCTATCTATCTATCTATCTATCTATCTATCTATCATCTATCTATCAATCAATGAGTCATTGTTACGTTGTGAGGATGCTACAGTTTTGTATGCTTAAAGGTAAAGGGACCCCTGACCGTTAGGTCCAGTCGTGGATGACTCTGGGGTTGCGGCGCTCATCTTGCTTTATTGGCCGAGGGAGCCGGCGTACAGCTTCCAGGTCATGTGGCCAGCATGACTAAGCCGCTTCTGGCGAACCAGAGCAGCGCATGTAAATGCTGTTTACCTTCCCGCCAGAGCAGTACCTATTTATTTACTTGCACTTTGACGTGCTTTTGAACTGCTAGCTTGGCAGGAGCAGGGACCAAGCAATGGGAGCTCACCCCATCATAGGGATTTGAACCACCGACCTTCTGATCAGCAAGCCCTAGGCTCTGTGGTTTAAACCACAGCGCACCCATGTCCCTTCCTGTGTCCCTAGGCTTGGCTAAATGAGGCAGTAGGCATTATCTTAAAAGATGCACACCTTTTTCTCACAGGAGAGAATGCTTCTTCTAAGATGGTGGTTGCCCTCTGTAGCTTTTTTCTATGTTGCTGCATTCTGCCTGTCTGTCCACGGAGAAAGAGAGAGAGAAACCGATTTTAATCAAAGGCACCTTTCTTCATTGGTCATGAGATGTTGTTTATTATTTCACATATATACAACAGGCAATATTAATCCAAGAGAACAAAAGTGAAGTAATGAAAAGTATGTTAATGGAAGCTTATAATATATATTGTTTTCTTGATCTACATAAAGTCTATATATAATTATACAATGATCCATTATAACATACCTAATAAAATGTGTGGATTTACATTTCCCTGTACCTTATGACACCGGTACATTTTTAAATGCACTATGTTTTTCAATAAAATTATCATAAGATTGGACATAAGGTTTCATTTGACTAATTTGACCCAGAGAAGTCCCACCAGATGTTGCTCGACTTGCCTTTCCCACCAGCCTCAGCCAGCATGGCCAATGGTCAGTTAAGCAAAAACAGTTTCCATATGTGTTTTGTGTGAATCTTACCATGCTCCTTTTTGAAAGCAAAGCACTTTTGCCAGTTGATCTTTTGAGAAGCCCATTCCAAGTACCCCCTCTGACCCATGGCCCCAACCTGGTGTCCTCCAGATACCATTGGACCACAGTTCCCATTACCCCCGACCATCAGCTATGCTGCCTGGAACTGATAGATACTAGCTGCAATGGCTTCATTCTACCCACAGAGTTGGAGTTAGTATGCCTCTGAATCAGTGGCATGTGCTGAAATTTTTCGCAGGGCCAGAGGTTAGGGCCAGAGGCACCTGTTTGTGAGGGCAACGTCACATGTGTGAGCATCGAGCCTGTCTCCCCATCGGAGCATCGCCACTCCCTCCCTAAGCTGGGCAGAAGCTTCTTGGGCTTTGGGCTGGAGGTGCCAGGCTTTAATACTATAGTAATCTGATTTTCCAGGAATATGTAGGGGACGTTCCCCTAGACCACTGACCACACAGCACTGCTTCCCACAAGCACCTAGGATGCTGGACTCGTGAGCCATTGGCCTGATCCAGAAGGGCTCTTCTTCTGTAAACCAAGGATGATGTTCAAACAATGAGGAAGCCTGTATAATAGTGGGCCAAAACGGCATCTACCATATTTTTCGCTCTATAAGACGCATTTTTCCCCTCCTAAAAAGCAAGAGGAAATGTGTGTGCGTCTTATGGAGCGAATGCAGGCGGGAGGCTCTGCTCAGCGCTCCCTTTAAAGAGCCACATGGAGCGTGTGTGCGGCTCTTGGGGGCTTTTCCCCGAGGAGGGAGAAGGGCTGCCCTACTCCCTCCTTGGGGAAAAGCCCCCAAGAGCCACACACACGCTCCGTGCGCTCTTTAAAGGGAGTGTGGCTCTTGGGGGAGCCTTCCTCCCGCTCCCCAGGAGAGGCTGCGTGGCTAAGCCATAAGCCAGTACAGCAAGCGGGATCGCTGCGCAGCGATCCCGCTTGCTGTCCTGGCTTATGGCTTAGCCGCACACAGCTTCTTCCGGGCAGGGGGAGCCTTCATCCCGCTGCCCAGGAGAGGCTGCGCGCGGCTCTCCCATAAGCCAGGACAGCAAGAGGCTATCCCAGAAGCCAGATCCCTCTTGCTGTTCTGGCTTCTGTGATTCAGAATTATTTTTTTCTTGTTTTCCTCCACCAAAAACTAGGTGCGTCTTATGGTCTGGTGCGTCTTATAGAGCTAAAAATACGGTAATCCCAAGGATACCAGATTTAAACAGACAGGATGGGAAAGGACTAATTAGTTGAAATGGACTTTCAACCAGTGCTTTGTCTTCTAATATATTTTTCCTCCCCTGTTGTTTCAGTGTAGCATTTTTTTTAAATATATACATTAGAGTTCAATACAGTACCGTTTTCATATTTTGGGTCTCGTTTGTGCACTCTTACGTAAGCCAAAACATATGGTGGGCACCAGTTTGGGGGAGGCTGCATCATGCAGTCCAAACAGATGGGTTCCATGTCTGTGAAACGATTGCAACGAAGGGATGCCAACTTTCAGAGCCTGACCACCCAAGAGGGAGCTGGATTGTTCCAGCCTCTGGTGTCTGCATAACCCCCGTGGCCCGAAGAATACAAAAATGATAAGAGGTTACTCAGAATTAAAATGGATACTAAATGCCTCATTTGTTCTATTGTTTCAGATGGCAAACTCTATTCTGCAACGGTTGCAGATTTTCTGGCAAGTGATGCGGTAATTTACCGAAGCATGGGGGACGGGTCGGCATTGAGAACAATAAAATACGACTCCAAGTGGATTAAAGGTACTTATAGTGAAATACTAACAATTGCAGCTTGTAATGTCTTTGTAGGCCCCTAGCTGGAGATTGTGTGCATTGTGGAGTGGTGATATTCTCCATTTCGTTTAACCCAATAATTACAAAGCAATCACTCTTTTTGCTGATGATTAGACTTTCTCAGTGTTCAAATCTTTAGTTCACTCTTTGAGGACTGAGGCACATTTAAAAATAAAAATTGGAGGTACACTCGTAAGAGTATACTAGTTTGATTTTTCTCACTGATTTGTTTGGACCTAACCATTGTTTATGGTTATGTGCACAAGTCTTGGGACCATGCTCCTCGTTCCCTCCCTCTTCTGACACAGCCATGCAGAGATCAGAAGCTTTCACTGCAGATTTCAATCAGCCACAGTTCCGCACTGCATCCGAACCACCTATACCATGGTTAATGAAAACTTCAATGGGTTGAAGCACAGACTTTGCTTTGTAAACTATGGTTTGAAGTTGTCTTGCTTCAAACAAACCATAGCTAAAACTAAACACAGTTTGTGCAGGTTCAAACATAGCATTTAACTGAAGTGAATCTAAAATAGGCATAGTGGTAAATTCTCTAATCTGTGTCCCAGTACGCAGTCTGGGAATAACTTATTTAGCCCCTTAAGACTCCAATCCTAGGGGAAAGTACCATTGATTTCAGTGGGCCTTACTTCTGAGTAGCCATGTATAAGATTGCTCTGCATTAGTTATATCAAAATTTGATATAATTCTATATACAGTTGCCCATAAAATTAAAATTGCATCTTTTTCTTCTGTAAGTTCTTTTAAATGAAAGAGCTACAACCACCCACGTCCCGATACGTGGCATGAAGGATCTGATATTATATGTAACCAGCTGCAGTTTGTGGGTGTGTGAAAAAGAATCGGGGCAAGCTCCATGGCTGTGAGCATATATTCTCCTTTCAGTGGAGCACAACCCAAAGCCCACTTCTTCTTTTTGTCTTCATCCAGCAAAAGATCTGGCCCAGGAATGAAACCCTTTCCCACCCACCCCCACCCCCCAATCCGCAATAAGTTAATGAATGAAGCTGTAGTAACAAAAGGCCGGAGCTGCAATACAATTCCTCAGAGGCCTTTTTACAGTCCATTAGCCGACATTAAAGTCTGCACATTCATTGAAGCTCAACTCCATCTGTACTTGGATGTCCTAAAGTGCCTTGAATAGTGGATTTCACTTTGTAACTACAGGATACACTTTGGCATCCGTACGCACCAGATCTGCATAGCAGCTGCAACAGCAGCCTGTTTGTAACACTAATGAAGGCTGTAATGCCTGTAACCTTAAGAGAGCTTTCTAGTGAGCTGCTGCAAGAGAGCATCCCGTGAGAGGCACATGGAACAGGCTGGACCCATTGATTCCTCCCATTACCGTATATTTCGCTCTATAGGACGCACTTTTTCCTCTCCAAAAATGAAGGGGAAATGTTTGTGCGTCCTATGGAGTGAATGCAGGCTCCTTGGCTTCAGCGAAAGCAACGCGAAGCCTCCAAAGCGTAGAGGGAGCACTCCCTCCGCGCTCCGGAGGCCACACGTTGCTTTCGCTGAAGCCTGGAGAGTGAGAGGGGTCGGTGCGCACTGACCCCTTGAAAGGCTATCCCCGAAGCCAGAACAGCGAGGCGGAGCGCTGCGCAGTGCTCCGTCTCACTGTTCTAGCTTGGGGATGCTGGGGCTTTATGGGGAAACCCCGGGCTTCCCCCTTCAGCCCTGACACTGGCCAGGCTGGCTGGGGGAACCCCATAAAGCCCTGACAAGCTCAGCCGTGTGTAAGCAGCTCTTACTCTAGATTTACAATGTGCCAGAAGGATGGGGACTGCCCCTTCCGCCCCTCCACCAGCTTATTGTGCCGGTAATTCCCGGCATTTCCTCCTTTTGCGCTGGTTCCATGAGGCAAGGCAGCTGCAATGATTTGATTCAGACTATTTTTTACTTGTTTTCCTCCTCTAAAAACTAGGTGCGTCCTATGCTTGGATGCGTCCTATAGAGCGAAAAATATGGTACATACCCTACCTTTCCTCCAAGGAACTCTAGTCTAGGGTTCCCCAGGCAATTAAGCCAAAAGGTAGTGACTGGCCCAGGATCACAGATTTTAACTGTTTTGAACATCTTTTAAATGTGTTTGATGTGCAAATCCCCTTGAGATAGTGGTTGAGAAGGCAATTGATAAATTAACTGAAATCATACCACTGTGTGTGCTTCATGGCTGAGCTGGGACTTGACTATGGGCTACCCAATTCTTGGTCCAAGACTCTAACCACAGTGTCATACACTCGATCTGATAGGTTTGTCCCTCTTTTGGGTGTATGCAGACATTCTTTACTCTGAAGGAAATGCACCCCCATCCCCCTTCATTGCAAAAAGGAAGTAGTAGCTGATCTAGTATGTGCCAGGTTTATTTGAATGCTGTTTTCCTTCCTCTGCAGTAGCATAAATGTTGGCAGAGCCAATGCTGCAGGGATGGGGGACATTGGTATTCCAAATGTTCCTGGACTGCAGTTCCCATCATCCCTGACCACTGGGCCATGTTGGTTGGAGCTGATGGGAATTGGGTGATTGAAATCATATAGAGAAGTCATGGGTTCCTCATCTCTGTAATACTGCCTTTCATTCTTAGGCACCTCCAACTAAAAGGACTTTGGGTACTAAGTTTTGGAAGAAGTCCCTGCCTGGGAATTCTGGAGAGCTGGTGCCAGTTACAACTGGCCATCACTGGGCTAGATGAACCAATGGTCTAACTCCAACATAGAAAACTACTCCAGTTCAGACCATTGGTCCATCTAATTCAGAGTTGTCTACACCAAGCATAGCTAGTGTGGTGCCTTACAAATATTTTTGGACTACAGCTAATATCATCCCATGTTGGCTGGGGCTGATGGGATTTGGAGTCCAACAACATCTGGAAGGCACAATGTTTGCTACTCCTGATCTGCATTGCCAGCCACTTTCCTGGTGTACAGAGAAGGTTCATTTCCAGTCCTCCGTGGAGGTGCCTGGGATTGACCCTGTGACCTTTTACATGCAAAGGATGTATTCCAGTACCGCTGAGCTCCAGTCCTTCCCCTTAAACATGGTATGAGACAACTTTATGCATTCCTCTTCCATTGAGATCCTATGGTGGTGATTTGTTTCTGACAGAATAACTCTGAACTTCTGTGATGTGCCAGCAGCTCTTGGAAGAGCTTCCTTTAAAAAAAATGATGGTCTCTTATTCTTACATGGGGTTTTCTAATGCTTTCCCGAGCCGCACCTGCACAGTGTCAGTAATGCTTCATCGTTTGCCTAAAATTCACTGTTGTGATGTTGTGCTAGACAGGGGTCGGCAAGGTTTATCTTTCCTGGGCCGGATCGGTCCCGCAGGATCCCTCTGTGTGCTGGATCGCGTGTGCGTGCCCACGATTTTTGGTGTCTGCGTAGACGCAATTTTCAGCACTGCAGTTTAGCGCAGTGCGCGGGCAGGCAGCTCGGTTCAGGGGCGGCTTGTGGGCCAGTTAAATAACCTCCATGGGCCACTTCTGCTCTGGTTATCTCCCGCTTGGATTACTGCAATGCGCTCTACGTGGGGCTACCTTTGAAGGTGACCCGGAAACTACAACTAATCCAGGACGCGGCAGCTAGACTGGTGACTGGGAGCGGCCGCAGAGACCACATAACACTGGTCTTGAAAGACCTACATTGGCTCCCAGTACGTTTCCGAGCACAATTCAAAGTGTTGGTGCTGACCTTTAAAGTCATAAATGGCCTTGGCCCAGTATACCTGAAGGAGCGTCTCCACCCCCATCATTCTACCCGGACACTGAGGTCCAGCGCCGAGGGCCTTCTGGCGGTTCCCTCACTGCGAGAAGCCAAGTTACAGGGAACCAGGCAGAGGGCCTTCTCGGTAGTGGCACCTTCCCTGTGGAACACCCTCGCACCAGATGTCAAAGAGAACAACAACTACCAGGCTTTTAGAAGACATCTGAAGGCAGCCCTGTTTCGGGAAGCTTTTAATGTTTGATGTATTATAGTATTTTAATATTCTTTTGGAAGCCGCCCAGAGTGGCTGGGGAAGCCCAGCCAGATGGGCGGGGTATAAATAATAAATTATTATTATTATTATTATTATTATTATTATTATTATTATTATTATTGGCCTTAGGTTGCTCACCCCTGTGCTAGCATAGTGGCCATTACAAAGTTTCCAACCAACTTTCACTCAGAGTGGACTCATTGAAATGAATGGACCTAAGTTAGTCATGCCATTGGGTCTACTCTGAGTAATACTTGGTTGGCTGCAACCCCAGGCCTCTTTCTCATGCCATATTGGGCTGTTAACCCAGATGTAGCAAGGCGCCTCCTTTTTTCACCAAGCAAAATCCTCCCAACATAGATCTCCTCTTCCTTGAATCTTTCAGAGCCCCATTTCCTTCATGCCATTGAATACGGGAACTTTGTGTATTTCTTCTTTCGAGAGATTGCCGTGGAGCATAATAACTTAGGCAAGGTAAGAGTAAATACAGCTGTTTGTTATGATAAGCTGCAAAGTCTCTGGGTGATTTGTAGTGGGCTGAAAATATGCTTGCTATGGAGTGGCTCGCAGTCGTTTCTGTTCAACGACTGGTTTTGAAAATAATAAGCTGGCACTTCTCATACTTCTAATTGCTGAAGGAGGTGGTGGAATTTGCATTCCCCCAACCCAACCCAACCCCCAGTCTCACAGCTTTGTTCTCTAGAGCTGGACTTCATCTGTAAAGAGGTTCACCCTGTCACTGAAATTCCAAATTGGCCTCCTCCCTACCCAAACAATTCACCTGCGAATCAAATGAACCTCCTGGTCTTATTTTAGTGCTGCAACTTGAGGTACACAGATGTAGACAAGACCGGGATTTATAATTGGTTGTCTCTATAAACTGGTCAGCAACTAGATTTGCTGGAGGACTAATTTGACATGGCAGGGCAAATCTCAAAAAGACCTGGGGCTCATCTACACCCCGTTTCTGAGCTGGGCAATTGGGGAGATAGGTAGTATGGGGCTAGGTTTGACCCAAAGTTTTCATAGTGGCTGAGCCCTAATCAAAACATGGCTTCCTTTTTCTGTGGCGGGAATGAGAAATCTTAGATCCGGTGGTATCTGTCTCTGACCCTCTGAAGCCCACTCCTCCCCACGCAACACCTTCACGCCTTCCATGAGTGTTTTCACCTCGCTGGAATGTAACCTTGAACTCTGATAATTCCTCTTGTTTGCCAGGATGGAGGATAGAAAATGTGTGTAAAAACTAGCCTATTGTACAATGGTTAAGAAAAGCAGGGTGGGGAAAGTCTGGAGAAGCTTGCATTACCAAGTATTATATAAATATTGAAAGTAAACCTCCAGGTTGGACAACAGGCATGCATTATACATTGGGCTGCCTTTAGAGACCATTTGGAAACCGCAGCTGGTGCAGAATTCAACAGCCAAATTGTCGACCAGAGCAGGGCAATCTGAACACATAATGCCAGCTCTGGCACAACCGCCTATCAATTTTTCCCCAGGTTTTCACCAACAAAGCCTTGTGCAGCTCAAGACTCCAGTACCTCAAGGTCCACCTCTCCCCACATGAACTGACCTGGGCTTTGCAATCATCATCTGAGGCCCTTCTTCAAGTGTCCCTTTCACAGGAGGTTCTGGCGGGGGGCAGCAACACGAGCCTTTTCAGTGGTTGCCTCTCCCCCCCCCCCACTTCTGCAATGCCCTCCCCAGGGGAGCACTTCTAGTGTTATCTTTATCCATTTTTAGATGCCAAGCAAATACTTTTCTCTTTAGCTGGGCTTTCGGACCTTAATTTGATGGGTGGCATTGTGGTCCATTGCCTAAGTCCTGCCTTTTATTTGTATAATTGTGTGTCCTTACATGGATGTTCTTGATTCCCCCCACCCTGTTATTTTTATTTACAAATATGAATTTATAACTATACCAAATAGACATCCATGTAAAGAGATCACTCTGAATCTCGGGACTCCCCCCTCCCAATCCCCTCTATGGGTCCTATTGTCAACATTTTCATCTTGATTCATTTTAACATAAGTTGGTTTGGGTCACTTGGTGAGAAAAGCGACTAACAAAAATAATGGATAAATAATAAATACATTGAGAAAGGTTCCCCACCACTGCCCAATGGAGTTGGCATAGGAAACCTACAAGCAGTTGCTTTCCTTTTACCAAAGTTGCTGTTATAACACTGGTGGTTTTCCAGACAGATTAGTTCCCAGCCTGATTTTCCTCCTTTCCTATTGTCCCCCACGCAAGGCTGTGTACTCCCGTGTAGCTCGCATATGCAAAAACGACATGGGTGGCTCTCAGAGAGTGCTGGAGAAGCACTGGACGTCATTCCTGAAAGCGCGCCTCAACTGTTCCGTCCCCGGGGATTCGTTTTTCTACTTTGACGTGCTCCAGTCGATCACAGACATAATAGAAATCAACGGAGCCCCTACTGTTGTCGGCGTATTCACTACGCAGCTTAACAGGTAAGAGATGAGCGGCCTGGTGTCAAAAGAGAGAGGGAAGTTCTCCGGTTCACTGCCGACGCTTAATCCGCCGCCGCTTTGTTGCCTGGCTTCCCTGCAACTTCTTCTCCCGTGTGTCTTTTTACAGCATCCCCGGTTCCGCAGTGTGTGCCTTTAGCATGGAGGACATTGAGAAAGTCTTCAAAGGAAGATTTAAGGAACAAAAGACTCCAGATTCTGTTTGGACAGCTGTACCTGAAGACAAAGTACCAAGGCCGAGGTAAAGGAAATAAGTGGATGATAATCTGTTATCAGAATGTTGTTGTCATGGCCCCATCTGTACAACTGCTTTGGAATCAGTGAAGAACACGTTGGTCCATCCATGTGTCTCTGGCTGGGAATTGTGAGCTGCTTAGAGCTCAAATTGGTTGATGGAAAAGCAGCATACAAATAACAGATCAAATCAGTGTTTATGTTTAATTTCAAACTGCACCTTGCGCATGGCAAGGGGGCAAGGCCTCTGTCTTGCATGCAGAAGTACCTAGGTTCAATCACTAACAGCTCCAATTAGGACTGGAAGGGACCCTTGCCTGAAACCTTGGGAAACAGCAGCCAGTTAGGGTGGACAGTTCTGATCTAGATGACCCAATGGTCTGACTTGGGGTAAGACAGCTTCTTGTGTTCTTATATTCCGATGACAAATGGCTCAACTAAAGAATTTGTTTGCCCGCCATGTTCCTCCTGGAAAACCCGTAGTTTAGTGCTGAATCAGAGCAAACAGCAACCGGGTTTTCTGATAGCAGATTGCCATTTATTCTGATTTAGTGCAAAAGAGCAGGTTTTCTGGGGGCAAAGGCAAAACAGCTCAAACCCAAGCTTAGAAAGCAGAAAATGGCTCTATATATAAAAGGCAAGCACTGAGACGCGTGTGAAAAGTGATACATGCACTAATTAAAGTACAAATACAGAGATTTTTGAAAGACTTGTTGGAGTAGGAAGTTCTTCAGTAGGGATTGAGAAGATGATAGAGATTGCACCTGTCTGATATTTAATGGAAGAACATTTCCCCCACCTGTCCAGATGTTGAGAATGAGTCAGCAGTGGGGAATCAAAGGCTTGGCACCTCGGCATGCTACAAGTAAACCTTCCTAAAAATGTGCAAAACCCCAAAATCTAGACGGAAATTCAGATGACTCCCTCATCATGAACATGGAGTAACAAAGCAATTGGCCAGCCCTGTGCTGAGCGATTGTCTCAAATGGTCCCAAAGTAGCAGTTTTCGTTTGGACTCCAAATTCATTTTGCCTTGGCTGTTCGCGCTGCTCCTTCAGAATTCTGCCCCTTCCCTTCACTTAAAAAAAAAAAAATGGGAAAAAATGTTGCTTTCCTTTCAGACCTGGGTGCTGTGCAAAACACGGCCTAGCAGAGGCTTACAAAACCTCCATTGATTTCCCAGATGAAACCCTCTCTTTCATCAAATCCCACCCTTTGATGGATTCCGCCGTTCCCTCCGTCATTGAGGAGCCTTGGTTTACAAAGACAAGGGTCAGGTAAGGAAGGAGGCCTTGTTGCGACACGAGGCTCAGCCGCTGCACATCTGAAACGTAATACTATGCCAGCCACACCGGGCAGGACTTTGGGGAGATCAGGTTTTCCTACACGGGACTGATTAAGGCCTCATCTGCGCTATACATTTAAAGCAGTGCTATGCCACAGTCACGGCTTCCTCAAAGAATCCTGGGAACTGTAGTTTGTTAAGGCTGCTGACAGTTGTTAGGATACCCCCTGTCCCCCTACAGAGCTGCTGTTTTCACAGTGGTTTAACAGTCAGTCCCCCTTCCCAGGGAACTCTGCAATTCGTAGATCTGTTGTTGAGGGTTTCATAGAATCATAGAATCATAGAGTTGGAAGAGACCACAAGGGCCATCGAGTCCAACCCCCTGCCAAGCAGGAAACACCATCAGAGCACTCCTGACATATGGCTGTCAAGCCTCTGCTTAAAGACCTCCAAAGAAGGAGACTCCACCACACTCCTTGGCAGCAAATTCCACTGTCGAACAGCTCTTACTGTCAGGAAGTTCTTCCTAATGTTTAGGTGGAATCTTCTTTCTTGTAGTTTGGATCCATTGCTCCGTGTCCGCTTCTCTGGAGCAGCAGAAAACAACTTTTCTCCCTCCTCTATGTGACATCCTTTTATATATTTGAACATGGCTATCATATCACCCCTTAACCTCCTCTTCTCCAGGCTAAACATGCCCAGCTCCCTTAGCCGTTCCTCATAAGGCATCGTTTCCAGGCCCTTGACCATTTTGGTTGCCCTCCTCTGGACACGTTCCAGTTTGTCAGTGTCCTTCTTGAACTGTGGTGCCCAGAACTGGACACAGTACTCCAGGTGAGGTCTGACCAGAGCAGAATACAGTGGCACTATTACTTCCCTTGATCTAGATGCTATACTCCTATTGATGCAGCCCAGAATTGCATTGGCTTTTTTAGCTGCCGCGTCACACTGTTGGCTCATGTCAAGTTTGTGGTCAACCAAGACTCCTAGATCCTTTTCACATGTACTGCTCTCAAGCCAGGTGTCACCCATCTTGTATTTGTGCCTCTCATTTTTTTTGCCCAAGTGCAATACTTTACATTTCTCCCTGTTAAAATTCATCTTGTTTGTTTTGGCCCAGTTCTCTAATCTGTCAAGGTCGTTTTGAAGTGTGATCCTGTCCTCTGGGGTGTTAGCCACCCCTCCCAGTTTGGTGTCATCTGCAAATTTGATCAGGATGCCCTTGAGTCCATCATCCAAGTCGTTGATAAAGATGTTGAATAAGACCGGGCCCAAGACAGAACCCTGTGGCACCCCACTAGTCACTCTTCTCCAGGATGAATAGGAACCATTCATGAGCACCCTTTGGGTTCGGTCAGTCAGCCAGTTACAAATCCACTGAGTGGTAGCATAGTCAAGTCCGCATTTTACCAGCTTCTTTACAAGAATATCATGGGGCACCTTGTCAAATGCCTTGCTGAAATCAAGGTAGGCTACATCCACTGCGTTCCCTTCATCTACCAGGCTTGTAATTCTGTCAAAAAACGAGATCAGGTTAGTCTGACATGACTTATTTTTCAGAAATCCATGCTGACTATTGGTGATCACAGCATTCCTTTCTAGGTGCTCACAGACTGTTTGCTTAATGATCTGCTCCAGAATCTTCCCTGGTATTGATGTCAGACTGACTGGGCGGTAATTATTTGGGTCCTCTCTTTTCCCCTTTTTGAAAATAGGTACAACATTTGCCCTCCTCCAGTCTGCCGGGACTTCGCCTGTTCTCCAGGAATTCTCAAAGATGACTGCCAGTGGTTCTGAGATCACATCTGCCAGTTCTTTTAATACTCTTGGATGCAGTTCATCTGGCCCTGGAGACTTGAATACATCTAGACTAGCCAAGTATTCTTGTACTATCTCCTTAGTTATTCTGGGCTGTGTTTCCTCTGCTGAATCATTTGCTCCAAATTCTTCAGGTCGGGCATTGTTTTCTTTATCGGAGAAGACTGAGGCAAAGAAAGCATTGAGGAGTTCAGCCCTTTCTGTGTCCCCTGTTTGCATTTCACCATCTTCTCCTCTGAGTGACCCCACTGTTTCTTTGTTCTTCCTTTTGCTACGAACATACCCATAAAAGCCTTTTTTGTTGCTTTTAACCTCTCTAGCAAGCCTGAGTTCATTCTGTGCTTTAGCTTTTCTGACTTTGTGTCTACACGTGCTGGCTATTTGTTTGAATTCCTCTTTGGTGGTTTCCACCCTTTTCCATTTTTTGCACACATCCTTTTTTAATCTTAACTCAGTTAAAAGTTCTTTAGATAGCCACCCTGGCTTCTTTAGGCACCTTCCATGTTTCCGTCTCATTGGTATTGCCTGAAGTTGTGCTTTTACTATCTCCCTCTTAACAAACTCCCAGCCATCATGAACTCCCTTTCCTTTTAGTATTACTGTCCATGGGATCTCACCCAGCACTTCCCTAAGTTTTATGAAGTCGGCTTTCTTAAAGTCAAGAAAGTGAGTCCTAGTATGCTTGGCTGCTCCTTTCCGCTGTATAGTAAACTTCAGAATAGCATGATCACTCGCGCCTAATGATCCTTCCACTTCTACCCCACTAACCAGGTCATCAACATGTGCCCTCTTTTTTCTCCAGTACATGTCCTCTTTTTCACGGGTAGAATCGTCACAGTGATCCATAGTTAAAAGTAAGGTAAAGGAACCCCTGACCGTTAGGTCCAGTCATGGATGACTCTGGGGTTGCGGCGCTCATCTTGCTTTATTGGCCAAGGGAGCCGGTGTACAGCTTCCGGGTCATGTGGCCAGCATGACTAAGCTGCTTCTGGCGAACCAGAGCAGCGCACGGAAACACCGTTTACCTTCCCGCCGGAGCGGTACCTATTTATCTACTTGCACTTTGGCGTGCTTTCGAACTGCTAGGTTGGCAGGAGCAGGGACCGAGCAAAGAGAGCTCACCCCGTCGCGGGGATTTGAACCGCCAACCTTCTGATCGGCAAGTCCTAGGCTCTGTGGTTTAACCCACAGCACCACCCGCGGCCCTTACAGTTAAAAGTAGAAGTCTTCAAATGTGTCCTCTTTTTTGCTCATCAAAATATGGCAACCCTACATCATGTTCCAGACATTTTTGCCTCTGTCCCCGCCACTGGTATGTGCCGCCTGCAAAAGCTTGCCCCAAAGGGGGAAGCTCTTCTCCTCTGATTTAAACAAGCAAATAACTACACACTTCTTTGGATCTAACCAGAGATTGTGCAGTATGGGAGAGCTGGTTCTCGCAGGTGTCACAAAGAACTTATGTGTGATAAGCAACCCATGGCTGGCCATGTGCAGGGCACAGTGTACATGTCTGGCATAATGTTGTGCTCTGCTTTTCTGCCCCTGTGGCCAATGATGTAAAGCCCAGGGTTGCGGTGGGAGGGCAGGGAGATGCAAAATGCAATGTTGTCAGACGTGGGATCTTTATCTTATTTACCGTTTCTTCTATATGGCTTTGTATTTCCAAACCAATAAAAATCTCAATGTGTTTTGCAACCCAGCTCCAAGCATCTGACATAACATTGCAAAATACAAAAAAAAAAAAACCAAAAAAAACCCCACCCTTACAAATGAAGGTCAAATAGTGGAGAATAGACATTTAAGATGGCATGATTAACAGGAAAACAAAATAAGCATTGTTACAGAATTGGCTTTGTTAGATTTTCTATACAAAAATGCCATAAAATTCCATCAGAGAGCATCATTAACAACTGAACAAAATAAGAGGCTCCTCTACCCCTCAACCCCAGTAACCTCTCCCAAGTACATTCTTGAAAACGTTCCACATGCAAACCTCACTCTTAAGCATTCCCAGCAACCCTGCAGATAACACAGCCAATCCCCAGCCAAATATTTGTTGCAAAGCAAACATCTGGTCTAGAAAAAATGCCTGGCAGCATTAAGCGTGATTTACACTCAGCTCTTCACCCACCTCCATCTAGGATGGTACAACATGCTATAAACAGCAACATAGCTTATCTTTCCTCCAAGGAGCTCGAAGTTCTCCCCCTCTTCATTTCATCCTCACAACCCTATGATGGAAGTTAGGTTGATTGACAGTGACTGGCCCAAGGTCTCCTAGTGAGCTTGCACCACACTGGCTCAAATTGCCCTGCAGAGTTTCTGAGTGAATCATTCCAACCGCAACCCATTGGCTTTGGTGGAGAAAGGAAACACAGCGCGACCCTCGATATGCCTACTCAGAGGCAAGTTCCACTGAGTTCAAGGATTGCCACATCAGCAGAGCACTTATTCTAGTCCCCCTTGAATGGGTATCAGGTTTCTTGTCATTGACACACTAGCAAATTGGCCACCAAGCTGTGGGGGATGTCTATGGAAGCATGAGCTAGCATGAGTGGGATTTGATGACAGTTGCCAAAACCATAAATGGTTCTCCAAAACCACTTTGGAGGATGAGTCCGAGTCTTTGACTGTCACTCAGCTGTGTTTCCAGACAGTGACTATTCCGGTTGTTACTCAACACTTGGCTTGTTAAACATAGCATTCCTTCCCTCTCATTCCTTAGTGCAAGGATGGGGAGCCTTTGCCCCTCCAGATGTCCCAGGCCTGCAACTCCCTACATTCCCGGCCATAGGGCCATTGGGAGCTAAAAGCATCCCCCAAAGTGTTGATTGAAAACAGCATAAATAGAGATGAGTGTATAATTTGGTGTTGTTAGCTGCTGCCTCCCCAAACCAGGCAAAAGCAGTGGTACTTCCGTATTCAGGACCTAGGAGGAACAAGTTTTGGGGGTCTCTAATGTGGAGGAATTATTACACAGGAGATCTTGGTCTTGACAGGTATCGGTTGACAGCGATCGCAGTGGACCACTCTGCCGGCCCGTATCAAAACTACACAGTCATCTTTGTTGGCTCTGAAGCTGGAATGGTACTTAAAATCTTGGCAAAGACCAAACCTTCTTCTTTGAATGACAGCGTGTTACTGGAAGAGATTGATGCATACAATCATGCAAAGTAGGTATACTTTTACAAGAACTGCTCGGTGACATTGCACAGCGTCTGTCTCGTTTGAGTCACTTGCTGCTTTGCCACCTGATTTAAATGTGTTCCCCACCTCACCTCCCTGTCTGATGCTTTCCCAGCGCTTAGGGGAATGTTTATTTGAGCAACATCTGAAAATATTTGTGTGCTCGCCTTGCATTCTAATTCCCTGTGCATGCCGCTCTGAAGTCAGAAAAAACCTGCCCTATTCCTCAGTGTAGGAGCAGTCCCTTGTTTGCTGACGAACACATTCAAAACACATTGGTTGATGTTGTTGTTGTTTAGTCATTTAGTCGTGTCCGACTCTTCGTGACCCCATGGACTAGAGCACGCCAGGCACCTCTGTCCTCCACTACCTCCCGCAGTTTGGCCAAACTCATGCTGGTAACCTCGAAAACACTGTCCAACCATCTCATCCTCTGTCGCCCCCTTCTCCTTGTCCCCTCCATCTTTCCCAACATCAGGGTCTTTTTCAGGGAGTCTTCTCTTCTCATGAGGTGGCCAAAGTACTGGAGCCTCAGCTTCAGGATCTGTCCTTCCAGTGAGCACTCAGGGCTGATTTCCTTAAGAATTGATGCATTTGATCTTCTTGCAGTCCATGGGACTCTCAAGAGTCTTCTCCAGCACCATAATTCAAAAGCATCAGTTCTTTAGCGACCAGCCTTCTTTATGGTCCAGCTCTCACTTAATTTCTCACTTAAATTCATTGGTTGATAACGTACTAAGAAAGGGTACGGGACCCATCAGAACATTCAATCAGAAAACAATTGAGGGACAGTTTCCCTGTGGAAATTGTAGCGTTTGTCCAAATTGCAGTTGATATCATTCCAAGGGATAACAAGGGATATCAGAGCAAAGGTTTTTTATATGGATCAAAGCCTTTTTTACTGGGCCTCTTTATGGAGAAGAGTGGGATATAAACATGGTACTTGAACAGTAACTGTATGTATGTAATACAAATAGTCCGTCAGGTGTTCTTAGCGGTCGCGCGGGAAGCCTCAGCTAGGGCTGGATCGAAAGTCGGGTTCGAATCCCTGCGGCGGGGTCGTCCGTCTCGGTCCAGTGCCTGCACCAGCAGTTCGAAAACCCTGTGCAAGTAGATAATAGGACGTTACTAGCGGAAGTTAAAGCGTTCCGTGTGCTGCGCTGGCCTTGCCAGAATGCAGCTTTGTCCGCTGGCCACGCTGAACCGGAAGTGTCTGCGGACAGCCGCTGAATAAGTGATCTATATAGTGGCAAAGGGCCCACCAAGCACCACCTTGCCACAGGCTCCCTCCACCCTGTATTAATTTAGGAATCTGTTCTAGCTTCATAAAACAGCAGTTTGCCATATTTTCTCTCCCACCCTTAATTCTATCGAGATCAACCCATATGTCTCCGTAAAAGCTCTGAGGAAATTGGGCTTTTCTTATTCCTGGCATGCAGCTTTTTCATAGATGGATGTAACCCACCTCATAGTAAATTCAGAAGTGATAAACTGAATTAAAGTTTAGCCAAGTTACAGGGAACCAGGCAGAGGGCCTTCTCGGTAGTGGCACCCGCCCTGTGGAACGCCCTCCCACCAGATGTCAAAGAGAAAAATAACTACCAAACTTTTAGAAGACATCTAAAGTCAGCCCTGTTTAGGGAAGCTTTTAATGTTTAATAGGTTATTGTATTTTAGTGTTTTGTTGGAAGCCGCCCAGAGTGGCTGGGGAAACCCAGCCAGATGGGCGGGGTAGAAATAATAAATTATTATTATTATTATTATTATTATTATTATTATTAGGGGGTCAAAAGAAATAACAACACCCAAATTTCTTGTGTAACTGAACAGGTGTAATGGGGATGGTGAAGAGGACAAGAAGGTCATCTCCCTGCAACTGGACAAAGAGCACCATGCCTTATTTGTTGCATTCTCCAGCTGCGTCATTAGAATTCCACTCAGCCGCTGCGAGCGACACGGGTCATGCAAAAAGTAAGCCCTCTCTGTCCAAACGTGTCTATACAATGGAGTTCACCAAGGCTGGGAGGCGGTAAAAAAGGTTAATTTCCTCTCGCCGCAGGTCTTGCATTGCGTCTCGAGATCCTTACTGTGGCTGGCTGAACCATGGGACCTGTGGAAGAGTGAAATCAAGCATGTTGTAAGTAGCAGGATTTTTAATAAATAAATGGCAATGTGTTAGTCAACGCCTTTAAATAGGTTTTAATATGCAGCATGGGTCAGGTGTTCTTGAAACAGAAAGTCATTGGTTGAGATGTGCAGAATGGACCTCATAAAATCATCTTAACTACCAACTGCCGTATTTTTTGCTCTATAAGACTCACTTTTTCCCTCCTAAAAAGTAAGGGGAAATGTGTGTGCGTCTTATGGAGTGAATGCAGGCTGCACAGCTATCCCAGGAGCCAGAACAGCAAGAGGGATTGCTGCTTTCACTGCGCAGTGATCCGTCTTGCTGTTCTGGCTTCTGAGATTCAGAATATATTTTTTCTTGTTTTCCTTCTTCAAAAAACTAGGTGCGTCTTGTGGTCTGGTGTGTCTTATAGAGCGAAAAATACGGTAGTTTCTGGGCTCAATTTATAGAGGGGTTAATAATCTTGTGAAGCTTTAAACCATCTGGGAACCAGGTTGTTTGAAGGGCCGTTTTCACCCATATGAACCAGCTGGACAAATAAAATTTAACTTTGCTCTGTGGCCCATCATTAACTAATATCTGATGGGATGGTACAAGGTACAGGACCATCTCAGTGATGCACAGGTGTGGACATTTCTCCCTGGGGAAGTCCCAACATGGGATCAGGGTTTGTGTGAGCGTAGGAACATTAGGAGAGCCCTGCTAGATCAGACCAAAGGGTTACCAGTATCCCGTTTGACATAGAAGTCAACCTAATGTCTCCGGAAGCAGGACATGAGTGGCAGGGTGGTGGCAATAGACCTCACATTGCAATAACCCAGCAACTGATAATTCATAGCCATACTGCCTCTGAATCTGGACATGATATTTGTCCAACGTGGCCTACATTTCCACTCCCCAATACTGTGACCAGGGGAGCTACTAAAAGTATAAAAGGTTTTTATGGTGCCTCGTTGCCAGGGAAAGCAGGGCAGGGAACTATGGGTCAGATTGTGTTGGACAGCTCTGTCATTAGATATTTTGGGAGGCATAGTGTTACGTTCTCCTGAGCAAGACCCTTTGGGATGAATAGAAGTCATAAGCCAGGCATAGGCAAACTCGGCCCTCCAGATGTTTTGGGACTACAACTCCCATCATCCCTAGCTAACAGGACCAGTCGTCAGGGATGATGGGAATTGTAGTCCCAAAACATCTGGAGGGCCGAGTTTGCCTGTGCCTGTCGTAAGTAGATACAACACCACTTGGTCGTATTAATCTCTGCTTCCCATTCATTTCACCGGGGCCTGCGTAGGAAATCTTCCCTGTGGGTTGGGTATTATTTGGCCGTGGCTATTTAACCCGCTTGAAGTTGCAAGGATTATTGTGAAGACGGCATAGCCATTAAATGGTTGAGATTCTAAGCAGAGGTTGCCGAAGATAAAATCTCTTCCCTTCATTGTATATCTAGCGCCCAGCTCCCCTTAGCAGCAGCCTTTCTCAACCTTTGGGTCCCCAGATGTTGTAGGACTACAACTCCCATCACCCCTAGCTAGCAAGTCCAGAGCTCAGGGATGATGGGAGTTGTAGTCCAACAACATCTGGGGAGGGACCCACAGGTTGAGAACCGCTGCTTAGCAAATGCTGAATGAACATGTTTTGCGGCTTTTGTGTTTCTTTTGAGAATGACGGTGGCCATTGGTTTCTTCCCCAACTAATGCTGTTAATTGCAGGTTATCTTTGTTTGTTTCATACAACCACAGCGTTGGAGGATATGAGCAAGATGTGGAATATGGCAACACCGCACAACTCGGGGATTGCCACGGTAAGCGCAAGTCCCAGGGCCAACTTGAGAATGTGGCATGGTTTGGTTTGCGGGCCACACTCTAGTCGGTGTGGATGTCACACAAAAATGGCACGGAGCACCCCGCCCCCTTGTAAACCATTTAGCACAAACCTAAGCCACTTGATCTTGGGTGGTGGAAACCCCCCCCCCCTTGGCCATTTTTCTCCCAGCCTTCATGTATTGTTCATGAAGGTCTAGATGTCAACTTATTAAAACAGGTATTCCCCTCCCCTTTTCCTTTTTTTACCTTCCTTTTGGGTGAACCTATTGTGTTTTGTTTTCTGATTTTCAGCTTTGGAAATCTATTTTGCTTTTCCTTTCGGTTACTTTTCACTGATTACGTGTTCCTTTAATTCTTTTAGAAATTTTGCCTACTACAACTACACCAGATTACAAAATATTTGGCGATCCAACATCTGGTTAGTTTTTTTCAATCATTTTTTTCTCCTCCCCCCCAGTTAATGGAACTTTTCTTTCCTTCAGTTCAGCATTTTCAGACAGCCTCGTCCCCCTTTTCTTTTTTACTTTTCTTTTCCTCTCCCTTTTTCTTTCCTTTGGTGCAGTTGGCAAGACCTCCATATTTTTTGCTTTTCTGCTTTTACTCATCTCTCTTCTGATGGTCAAGGAACAGCCAAGTCTTTCTCTCACTTAGCACTTTTCACCTTGTGTATCTGCATGCTTAAGAGCTCATTGTTAATTGAGACACATCTTTTATTAAGTGAAAGAGCCTGATTAACATAGATGACATTCTCACTGCACGAAATTTCCACTAAGCTTCTACTCTTTCCCCCTCCACTCAACCATGTCTTCATGAATGCTACCCTAGCAGTTAGATGCCTGGTCCACTTCATCTCCTCCCTTTCCTCCTCCTCCTCCTCCTCCTCCTGTGTCGTCCCGGCTATTTATAAAAAGCAAATGCACATTTTCCCCCCTGAAATGTGTATTTCTGAAATGTTGGAAATGTGTTGATATCTTCAAAGGTTTTCAGAAATGCATTTGTGCTAATAGCATCATATCCACTAATAGGTGGCATTTAGCATCAGATCGCTTCAAGTTTTATGTGCTTCTTCCAGAAAAATTACAGAGCAAATGAGGGGACGGCTTTGCCTTTAATAAGCTGTTGGTAAGAGTGAGAAGGATGGGGGGGGGTTTCCCCCTCCCACTCGCTTGCATCACAGGACTTGTATTTGTGCTTCCTTTACAGAGGAAACCCAACCATTCTCCAAACAACAGGCAAACGTTACAATAGGCTTTTCATGTCTGCAATACTATTTCAATTGCCTACATATGGATTTCCCCCCTCCTAAACTCTGATCCCTCAGCTCTCATGCGGCAAGAGAAATTACACAATAGCTTTCCAAGAGGTGTCTTGGTTTAGGTACTGAAACATAGAGTTCAGTTCCAAAAATCGGTGGTCTGGGATTTTGTGTGTTGTTACTGAAATCTCAGCATCTTACCTGAGTAGGGAAAGTAACAACAGTAAGGAAAGTGGTTGTAATATACCGCACAGTTAGATATGTAAACTTAGAATTAAAAACTGAATACAAAAAGAATTTCCTTGCCTGGATCATTAGGAAAGGGATCAAAGATAAAACTGCTAATATTACAATGCCTTTTACACATTGTAATTTACTATGGTGTGGCCACAATTTAATAATAATAATAATACCCCGCCCATCTGGCTGCATTTCCCCAGCTACTCTGGGTGGCTTCCAACAGAACACTAAAATACAATAACCTATTAAACATTGAAAGCTTCCCTAAACAGGGCTGCCTTCAGATGTTTGGTAGTTATTTTTCTCTTTGACATTTGGTAGGAGGGCGTTCCACCGGGCGGGTGCCACTATCGAGAAGGCCCTCTGCCTGGATCCTTGTAATTTGGCTTTTCGTAGCGAGGGAACTGCCAGAAGGCCCTAGGCGCTGGACCTCAGTGTCCGGGCAGAACGATGGAGGTGGAGACGCTCCTTCAGGTATACTGGACCGAGGCGGTTTAGGGCTTTAAATGTTTTGGTTCAGTTCTGGTTGCCACACCTCAGGAAGGATATTGTAAAGCTGGGAAAGGTGCAGTCCAGATTATCATTTGGGGGCTGAAAGAAAGGTTGCAGCTTACACTGAGTGAGAGGGGTAATATGACCAGACTATGGAGAAATTGTAGAAGGGGAAGTTTTTCTTCCGCTCTCAAAATATTATAATATATGTGTTATACATTAATAATAAAGTCAATATTTTAATGGAGACCACTTTGAGGTATGCATAGAGCAATATATGACAAATAAATACTAGAACTCAAGACCATCCAATGATATGGTAGAATATTCAGAACATTTCTTCACACCGCATAGCTGCCATCTTGGGCAGCTCTAAGAGCAAATTTGACAAATTTGCCATGGAGGCTGAGAGGATTAATGGCTACTAATCATAATGGCTATATTGTATGGATTAGAGGCAATACATCTCTGAATAGAAGTTGTTGGAGGACACAAGTGGTAGAGGAACAGCACTTTTCCTACTTTGGCTTCTCATAGACATCTGGTTGGCCACTATGGGAACAGTGTTTGGTCTGATCCAGGAGGAATCTTACTTTTTAGTCCAACATTCAGTTTCCCACCAAGGTTAGCTAGCTGCCCACTGTCTCTGTATGTGGAGGCATTATGTATTATCATCAGCATTAGCTCTTATACCTGACATAGCTGAGTTGTGGTTTGTCTGTCCACCTGTCTGTCTGTCCACTCGCTATGCATTCAGACACCTCTTGAGATATCGCTGCCAAACTTAACACAATGATTCCCAAGAGAGAGGAGCTGGTTTCCCATCTGTGTTTGGCTACTGTTGTGACACCGCTTTACATCAAGATGCTGGACTGCAACATTTTGGACGCCTCTTAAGATAAGGTCAAAAGGGACGCGGGTGGCGCTGTGGGTAAAAGCCTCAGCGCCTAGGGCTTGCCGATCGAAAGGTCGGCGGTTCGAATCCACGCGGCGGGGTGCGCTCCCGCTGCTCAGTCCCAGCGCCTGCCAACCTAGCAGTTCGAAAGCACCCCCGGGTGCAAGTAGATAAATAGGGACCACTTACCAGCGGGAAGGTAAACGGCGTTCCATGTGCTGCGCTGGCTAGCCAGATGCAGCTTTGTCACACTGGCCACGTGACCCAGAAGTGTCTCCAGACAGCGCTCGCCCCCGGCCTCTTGAGTGAGATGGGCGCACAACCCCAGAGTCTGTCAAGACTGGCCCGTACGGGCAGGGGTACCTTTACCTTTACCTTTAAGATAAGGTCACCAGATTTTGCATGATGGTGCCTGAGATGCAAAGAGCAGTTGCAGGACTGTTTGTAAAAGAGCTTTCAAACAGCCCTGCCCTGTGCTTTGACTGTGTGTTCTTGTTCCCAGAAGGAGAAGCCTTGCCTTGCCGCTCCCAACTATGTTGGACTTTAAAAGCCTTAATTAGCACAACTCCCAAGGCCAGATTCTGGTTTATCATTGCCTGGGTTGGGGCAGGGAATGGCACACACAGCCCTAGAAACTGACAGAGTGCATTACCCATTTATAATCTCAGTATTATCCATAATACAGTGGTACCTCGGGTTACATACGCTTCAGGTTACATACGCTTCAGGTTACACACTCCGCTAACCCAGAAATAGTGTTTCAGGTTAAGAACTTTGCTTCAGGATGAGAACAGAAATCGTGCTCCGGTGGCGCAGCGGCAGCAGGAGGCCCCATTAGCTAAAGTGGTGCTTCAGGTTAAGAACAGTATCAGGTTAAGAATGGACCCTCGGAACGAATTAAGTACTTAACCCGAGGTACCACTGTACTTGAAACCATTGAGAGAATTCTCAAGCAAAACCAGCCCTTACAATTGGTGGGCTATATAGGTTTGAAGGGTTGTTGGCATGTCTGTTCACTATGCATTTGGACTTAAGACCTTGTAACCAAATTATGCAACTTGCTTTGGATAATTTGATAATTTAAAATAAGGCAGGCTGTTTCAAGGGGTTGGTCTGCAGGGCAAGCCTTGCAGGGAGTTGGAACCAGATGATCACCAGAGTCCCCTTCCAACTCTACAATTCTGTGATTTGAAAGGTTCCTGGGAGCAGGGGACTTGTCCATGTTTGGATACAATGGGACACCATTTTGAATCGAGACTCAACCTTTCAGAGCTGCACCAGTGCTTTGGTTTCCCAGAATTCCTGAGCAGCACAGGAGGGAAATGAGCAAGGAGGCAGGTGTCAGAATATGAACCTAAGAAGAGTGTGCTGGATCAGGCCAGTGGCCAACCAAGGTGTTTGTGGCAAACCTGCAAGCAGAGCCCAAGCACACGTTCCCCTCCTGCAGTTTCCAGCAACTGATAATCGGAAGTATTACTGCATCCAGCTGTGAAGCCAAGCATAGCTAGTAGCCATTGATAACCTAATCATGAACTCGTTTAATCCTCTTTTAAGGCCATCCAAGATGGAGGCAATCTCTGCCTCCTGTGGGAGGGAGTTCCACAGTTCAACTTTGTGCTGTGTGAAGCAGTACAGTGGTACCTCGGGTTAAGTACTTAATTCGTTCTGGAGGTCCGTTCTTAAGCTGAAACTGTTCTTCACCTTAGGCACCACTTTAGCTAATGGGGCCTCCCGCTGCTGCCGTAGTGCCGGAACATGATTTCTGTTCTCATCCTGAAGCAAAGTTCTTAACCCGAGGTACTATTTCTGGGTTAGCGGAGTCTGTAAACTGAAGCGTATGTAACCCGAGGTACCACTGTACTTTCTTTTATCTGTGTCGAATCTCCCAATAGAAGCTTTGAAGCCCTGTTTGCAACAGGGGCATCAGTTCCCTTCTGGTGGCAGGGTTTTTTTTAGCATTTCCATCCCAAATTCCTCCTAAATGGTTAGACTGCTGCTTTTTTCTTTATTTCAAAAGGCAAAATTCCATGTTGGACTTCAATGAGAGCACAATCCAGTACAGAGTACGCTCCTCTGATGTTTCCTTAATTCTATCTGCCAATTACAGTTTTTTTCCACATGCTTTTTAATGCTTCTGGAAGTTTGACAGCAGACGATTCTTTGATGCTATTTGCACTTCTGTAATGAAACAAGAATGGTGTTTGATGGATTTTGTTTGTCCAAGAACTAATTCTGGTGGGGAGGGAGGAAAGTCGCAGTTCCCTTGTGTGAAAAATGTGCCCTTTCTGCCTGTGCATGAATGGATGAAGAAAAAAATCAGGTTTACTTTTAAATGTTGACATGATGCACTTGATTCCCACACTGTCGATTAATAGGGATTTGTAGTCATGTTCACCCAAAGCTTTCCACTGCAGATATGCACAGGAGGTTTAGAAATTGACACCACCCCTGATGTCAACATGAATTGTGGCATATGAGCTATAGAATGCTACGAATACCAAGTTTTGCTTTTGTCCAGTTATATCAAGCTCCTGGCCCTCATGATTACAGACCGGTTGCCTGAAAGCTTCCTTGCCGTTTCTGATAAAGGCTCACACCCATTCCTATGAATCCAACGTAGCTATACAGTAGCTGGTATTGCTGTAGCTCGAGGCACAATCCTTTTTCCCTTTTCCTTTTTGCAAGTGAAAGTGAGATATCCAGAACATCCACACCTGCCATATTCTTCCCAAGGGCCATTAGAAGAGGCCCTGTTGGCACTGCAAGAGGCCGGACCTCATTGATGCCATAACACTAAATGTTACACACTCTAGAAGGTCTGGGAGGAGATCTCAGTGAGACCTTTGCTCAGTCAGCATGAGCTCCTTACCTCTCTGTACATACTGTATTTTTTGCTCTATAAGACTCACTTTTTCCCTCCTAAAAAGTAAGGGGAAATGTGTGTGCGTCTTATGGAGCGAACGCAGGCTGCGCAGCTATCCCAGAAGCCAGAACAGCAAGAGGGATTGCTGCTTTCGCTGCGCAGCGATCCCTCTTGTTGTTCTGACTTCTGAGATTCAGAATTTTTTTCTTTTCTTGTTTTCATCCTCCAAAAACTAGGTGCGTCTTGTGGTCTGGTCTTAGAGAGTGAAAAATACAGTATATTGTTTCTAGTCAAAAAGTCTTAAACACACACAGAGAGAAGTATGGGAAATAAAGTCGCAATAAAAGTATGACAAGCATTCCGTACTGTCTTGTCTCAATTCTGCACCCAGAGGATTGTGTACATAGTATATAAATCTATGCAGAGCTTTGTTTTGCCAAATTGATTCCAGTAGCTGGATGCAAAGCAAGACACTCAGTTTAGAATGAATCCCCCCATCATAAATGTGTTAGGTAATGGGGATTAGCTCTTCAAATGCCTTTTCTGTGGTGGCTCCCCAAATGTGGAATGCTCTCCCCAGGGAGGCTTGTCTGGTGCCTAAAGATATGTAATGAAGATAAAAAAAATTCCTTTTTACCCAGGCATTTGGCTAATGAAACAATCAATGACCTTTTAAACTGGGGGGGGGGCAGTGGGAGGTTATGATTTTATTTTTTATTATGTTACTTGTTTTTATACTGTAACCTGCCCTGTGATCTTCGGATGAAAGGCAGTATATAAATGTAATAATAATAAATTGACAGGGGAAAAAATCAGAAATCCAGCCTGACACAGAATAAATTCTGCTTCCCACCCTCCTCCATTTTCCATCTTCCTTACTGATTTTATTTAAGCACCACAGTCATTGAATAATGGCAATAATTCGCAATACATTTCCTGCCCCTGACTTTAAATCTGATTTTAAAGAGCAAGTCACAGTATAATGCCGTTGTTCCTCGTGCAACTCATATTAAGCCTATTCTCCAAATACAATTTAGCAGTCATCGTGCAAAGTCACTAACTGTTGAGGGTTTCATATAAAAAGAAACACACACACACACACACACACACACACACCATAGAGTGGGGGGCAGGAACCTGACTGCAATGCACATTAATAAAAGCAAAATCTGTTTGCCACCACAGACATGGCGTTACCCTCAACTTCTGTTACCACAGTGGAAAGTATCCCAGTTTTCTCACCCAAAGTGATGGGTTCCTGGAAACCTAAAGTGACTGGCTCCCGGAAATTTGTAGCCCAAGATGACCCAAACACCTCTGATTACTCTGATTCATTATCAGGGGTCCCGAAGGGTAAGGCCTAATCAGGGGTTTTATTACGGTTGAAAGGAAACCTGATAGCTTCAGCAGTTTCAAATTCAAACGCTTGTTCTTATCAAAATGTGCATGCAATATCATCCTTTGTATGTAATAAAAAGGTGTAATTTTGGCCAACAGAGCAGGGAGGAGACAAGATGAGCAGCAAAACAGAGTTTGCATCACTGTGTTGAACACTTTGTTGAAAACTCCTGCTCATCCTGTTATTCTCACCCCCAGCCAAATTTTGTTGGCATACGCATTTTGTTTTGCATACGCATTTAATGCATGCTCAACAGCGCATGTCAGCCGAGCATCAAATCCCATTGAGTTCAAAGGGGCTTACTCCCGGAAAAGCGTCCTCCTGCACCACACTGCCTTTTGTGTACTTTGTTATGGGTCTGCGATATTCCTTTTGGCTAGCCCACAATGTCAAAGTTTTACTCTCTAGCATAGGCTCCGACTCCATGGGGCTTGAGGGGGCTCGAGCCCCCTCAAAAAAAATTTTGGGGGGGGCTCAGCCCCCCCAATAATCTCGGGCGCCGGGGGCGGGGGCTCCTGCCTCGCTGCTTCGCAGCACCACCGCCACTGCCAAGGCACTGCCAGGGGGAATTTCCTTCCTCCTGGCGGTTTCAGCCCCCGCGAGAACAGGGGAATCCCGACTGGCCACACCTCCCAGCCAGCCAATCGGCTGGCTGGGGGGGCGTGGCTTGCCCTATTTAGGGCCGGAGCCACTTTATTTGCATATTCATGAGCTTATTTATTATTCATGAGCTTTCCCGGGCCCCCCCAATATTTTTTATAAGTCCGCGTCCCTGCTCTCTAGCATAAGGCTCGCCACAGCATAGCTTTGCAAAAGTAATCGCATTAATCCACCACAGCAGAAATGAGAGCATTCTGGCTTATAACAAAAGACTCTCAAAAACTCTTGCAGCACCAGCTTCCTCCCAATTGCTACAACCTTTATCAGAGCTAAGGTGTCTTTCTGTGAGATACACCTCAAAACTGTGGGAGTTTGAGTTTCTCCTGCTAAGAACAACTCCACATGTTAACATCACCACAAACAGTGGGTTAAGCGCCATGTAAGAAGAATCATGTACTCCATAAAGGGCAGTGTGGTACTGCATGGTTGACCGTAGGTACATAGATCAGGCAGCGGTTCATATACTGTGACTGTTTGATCTGTGTATCCATGAGGAAGTTGGGGAGGGGAAAATCCCTGCAAATAGCAGCTTCTGCATTATGAGGTGTCAGTTGGACACAGATTGGAGAGGCCTCCATTAAAAGGACGTTGTACTATTGAGTCCTTTGAGTGATGTTCACTCTCTCTCTCTCTCTGCCTAATCCAGCACATAGGATTGTTGTGAAGATAAAAATGGAATAGCCCATTTCATCCTCACAACTGAAAAATAAATGAGAGAGTGTGTGGGGCCCTGGGTCACCAGTGAGCTTCACATCTGAACAGGCCCCTCATCTTCTCATCCAAACTGGCTCGTCCTCTGTTATCTGGATACTCAAACTGGACACCTCATAGTCAATGGCACATATCTGCATGATCCTTTCTTTTCTCAAAAAAAGAAAAAATAAGTCATAAGTTCTCAAGCAAACCTTTCACATTCAAGTATTCAGCGAAACGTATCAGGTTTCCTTTTGGCCATTGTGGCAGCGCATTCGTAATTTGCTTCAGGTGTTTCTTATCGCTTGGTTGTCCTTTAAAACGAGTCTGCTTTTGCCAGGATTTGCTCACGCTCTCTCTCAGTCACGCTCGGTAGCGTTTTCTGTAGTAAGCCTTTCTCAGCCTTTCCCCTCCTTTTCCCTCTTCTGCACAATGCCATTAAAACCAATAACCCTGAACCTTTCAACTCTCTTCAAAGGCCTTGCCTCTTAACACACACACAAACCACACATAACACTCTTCTTTGTTTTAACTTTCCCACTGTGCCGAATAACACAATTAGGTGCATTCTGCCAAACTAACATCTTCTTAACGGTGCAATGTCTGTGGTTGCTTTAAATAAAAACAAAAACCTGCAAGCTCTGATATTAACGTGCAAGTTTGATTTTCTTTTCCTTTTTTAATACTATTGTTTGATCTTCTAGTACAAAATTTAATGCATTCTATATTATGAAAACTACTAATACCTCTCATTAGCCGGATGGTTTTTAAATGATGCTCTGTTCCAAAAGTTCATTACTCACTGAAGTCTAGGCCTTAAAATGCGTGGGTAATCTTGACTTCTTTTTTTAAGCTGCAGAGAATACCACTTCCAAAATAGCAAAGTGAGAAAGCATTCCTTTTGGAGGGGGGTAAAAATATTAGCATAGTTCTAACAATGCAAATCTGCACATTATAGAGTTTTGCACAATATTTGCATAATCCTATCTCACTTTTGATTCTGATTCATGAAATTGAAAGAGAAATCCTTCCACGAGTTATTAATTGCAGCTTGGCAGTGTAGCACCTTCTAACCTCAATTTTCTAGCAGAAATCGTTAATGTTAATACCACACCAGCTACTATTTGTGAGTCTTAAAAGGATATTTCAGGACAGAGTGTGTGCATTTGGATTGGCAGAGTGTAGTAATGCTACTCATATAGTCCAGTTCTCCAGGTTAATAGACACAGAGGTGCAGGTCAGAGATTGCCAGCCTATCAAGGGAAGTCTCCTTATGCTTGTGATGGCATCTAGAACGGACAGCCATTAAAGGCAGCCATGGAAAAAGAGCCTTCCATCTAGCCTTCCTGGCCTGCAGAGAGGTAGATCTGCTGTCTGCTCACCCCCATAACTATGATTTGCTTCCATTTACAAAAGAAAATGACCTCTCCAAACTGGTAGCATTCCTTTTTCTCTCTTGTGGTGGCTCTTCTTGCCTGCAGTTGGGAAGGCAGTGTAGCAGAGAGGTTGGCTATTTTCTCAGTCATTTAGGAATTGTTAACTCTGCTGTGTAACAATAAGCCGTTTTTTTAAAGCTTATTGTTCATTGTTTTGTCTTATTAACTGAACGGTGGTTTAAAATGTCTTCTTATACTCCTCCCTGAGATCAGGGCCCTTTGATAGAGGGCAGGTCATGAATGCTTTCATAAATAAAATAAAAACCAGCTGCCAGACAGAACAAGGAAGGCAAACAGCTGCTGATATTGTAGTTTCCTTGGTTTCTTGAGCAAGGAAAAGCATGGCACTGCTACAAGGACGAGTAGGCAACATCAATGCACTCTCTCCTATTAGAAGTATATATAGACCTAAGTAAGAGCTTGACCAGGTCTCTGCAGGTGCCTGTAATAGCTGTAAGATCCAGAGCAGAGGTGGAGACCATGTAGCCCTCCAGATGTTGGACTACAACTCCCATCATTCCTGTTTGTTGGCCATGCTGGCTGGGGCTGGTGATAGTTGGGAGTCCAACAACATCTGGAGGGCCCCTGATCCCAAGAGCCAAGCAGGCGTCAGGGAGGGGTGCAACTGTAGAACAATGCCCCTATTAAGAGGGCAACGTGAACTGGTCGGCAGGGTTCCTCCAACAGCCATGCCCTGCTTGATGCCTGTGGTCAGCTTCGAAAAGTTAGCTAAGAGCAAGGGGCCCAGAAAGGATGAGTGGAAAGACCAAACTGCAGCACAGTGCTACAGCAAGCCCATGCCATCATTTCACATCCTTCTGATCTGACAGCCCAGCATAATGGCACGGCAGCCTCCTGAGCCAGCAGAAATATTTATCTGGGCACAGGGGGCAAAGAATGAAGGGCAAAATCTCCAAAATTGGAGGGGGGGCTGTATCAGTGTTGTGAGGTTGCTCCACCAAACTGTAACTCCACCAAACTGGACAACTGGAAGCGCTTTCATTGGATTGGAATGATGGACAAATGGATTAGACATCCATATTATCACAGAGATGTTGCATATTAATGTATATGCATGATGCTGGTGGTGTAAATTGGGGAAATATAACACATCGAATGTAGGCTAAATTATGGTGGAGACCAACTCTAAACATGTTCAGATTTCAGTGAGGACTGTTTCGTACATGGGGTGCAATCATGCCAATTTCAAGCAATTTCAGGTTAGGATTAGGGGTTAAAGTTAGGGTTAATGTGAGAGTTATGAACGTGCTTCAACTTTCTCCCATTAAAATAAATAGAAATTGTGCTGGATTGTGCCGGCTATGCTTTTAGTCTCCACCTGAATTAGATACACCAGAAACCACTTAGCACTTAAAAACATCTGTTGGTATATGTATATATACACCACTAATGACTCCCTGAGGAGGATAGCCATGTCAGAAGACTTGTGATTCCTACCCCTACTGTGCAAATCTCTCTCTCTCTCTCAAGTGCAGTGGTGCTAGGTTTCTGTTATGTCTGGTTAGTACTGCAGCTTAAGATAAGCAAGCTTTGTTTTACGGTCATGCAGAATAAAACACGCTCTAATCTCTCCATACCACATGTGTTTGTTGTAGGTGTCAGGTGGGAAGTCCAGTCAGGAGATTCTAACCAAATGGTGCACATGAATGTCCTGATCACATGCGTCTTTGCCGCCTTCCTGCTGGGAGCCTTTATTGCAGGCGTGGCTGTTTACTGTTACCGGGATATGTTTGTGAGAAAGTCCAGGAAGATACACAAAGACGCAGAGTCAGCTCAGTCCTGTACGGACTCGAGCGGGAGTTTCGCCAAGCTGAACGGCCTCTTTGATAGCCCAGTCAAGGAGTATCAACAGAATATCGATTCTCCCAAGCTGTATTCAAACTTGTTAACAAGCAGAAAAGAGATGCCGCCAACGGCCGACACGAAGTCCATGATGATGGTGGACCACAGAGGCCAACCGCCAGAACTGGCAGCTCTTCCAACACCAGAATCCACGCCGGTGCTGCAGCAAAAGACTTTGCAGTCTATGAAAAGTCAGATGGACAAAGCGCAGAACAACCTCAGTGCTTCTAGAAAAGAAACTCCTCTGAAGAGCCCTCAGTTTTTCCCGTCCAGTCCTCCACCTCATTCTCCTCTAAGTCACGGACACATCCCCAGCGCTATTGTTCTTCCAAACGCCACCCACGACTACAACATGTCCTTCTCGAATTCCAACGCACACAAAGCAGACAAGAAGATGCAGAACATGGACCACCCGCACACAAAGTCATCGGGCAAGAGAGACCACAGGAGGTCTGTGGATTCCAGGAACACCTTGAACGATTTCCTGAAACATTTGAACGAAATGCCTAGCAACCCCAAAGCCATTATGGGAGACCTCCAGGTGGCTCACCAAACTTTAATGCTGGATCCCATGGGAAACATGACTGAGATCCCGCCTAAAGTTCCCAACAGGGAAGCCTCTTTGTATTCTCCTCCATCCACCCTTCCGCGAAACAGTCCGACGAAACGGGTGGACGTCCCTACCACGCCGGCGGTACCCATGACCTCTTTGGAAAGACAGAGGGGCTACCACAAAAATTCATCGCAGCGGCATTCTATATCAGCCCTCCCTAAAAACTTAAACTCGCCCAATGGCGTGCTGCTGTCGCGGCAGCCGAGTATTAACCGCGGGGGATACATACCTCCCGGAGGAGGCTCAAAGATGGACTACATGCAAGGGGCACCAGTGAGTGTCCATCTACAGCCTTCCTTGTCTAGGCAAAGCAGTTACACGAGCAATGGAACGCTCCCTCGGACAGGGATAAAGAGGACGCCCTCCCTCAAACCAGACGTGCCGCCCAAACCCTCGTTCGCTCCCCAGACGCCTTCAGTCAGACCACTGAACAAATACAGCTACTGAGACTTGCGTATTCTGTCAAGAGGTGTGGGATGATGTTGCAGGACAGACAATAAGACAGTGACTCGCTTGTCATGAGAAACACACACACACGGAGAGAGAGAGAGAGAATGAACAAGCCGCCAAAGAACCTGTTCTTACTCCAGCAACATCTGGGATTTTGCCACACACCTGGCTTAAAGCAAGGCTCATCTTGCTAAACAGATTATAACAAAGGAAGGTGCTGGCCCTTCACATTTCTTTTGTTTGGAGCAGAGGAGACATGTAGCACAATGGGAGGGGGAACTACCTGAGCAAAAGTACTTGGGGAGGAAAGGGGGAGGGGGAAAAGATCTGCGAGCAAAAATACTTGAAGATAATAATAATAATAATAATAACAATAACAATAAAATGGGGTTCATTTTTAGACTGCCATAATGTGTAGTCTTCCCATGAAATGTGAACATTTTAATATGTATGCATTTGCCTTGCCTCTTGCACAAATGTCAGCAAATGATAATGTCTCAACAAGTATGTTGGTTAATAAGCAACTTGCTGAACTTTGGTCTCTAGTCCAACTGTAGCATTTTTCTTTTCCTCCAAAGGATGACATTTTTGTTTATGATGAGAATAAAGGTGTTTGTGTGTGAGGGTGTGAGTGTGCGCACAAAGCTAGGAGGTATTCAATATCATTGCATCTTTTAAGTTACAGAAACGTTTACATTTGAGTTTGACTAAACAGACAGATGGCTCTGGTTCAGATTATTTTGGATTGCATGAGGTGTACAGCAGATCTCATGTGGGAAGCTTTGTGCTGTCAGATTTCTGCCCTGGGCAGAACTAGTTACTATGTGAAATGGTGCAAATGTGCTCATTCTAAATTATGCTGCTATAGAGTCAGATGTCTAAATTCCAAGTGTAGCATTAATAGAGGTCCATGGCAGTAGGGATGGTTAAATCAGTCCATTTTGGTTTCTCGTTTTCCTGATATTCAGTTTGGCCAATTTCTGCAGCAGTTTGGAAATTTTTACTTCAGAGAAATGCAAATTCCAAAGGGTTTGCATGGTGCTTTGGGAAGCACAAATTAAGGTAGGTTAACATGAAAATGCGAACCGAATTGATTTCTCCCCCATCTCCAGTGCTCAGCTGGTCTTTCAGTCCACCTGACTTCCCAACCTGAATGCAAACTTTAGAACTTCTAACTGTTCTTCATCCAGAACAAAGTTTCCATTATGGTCAGACTCTCTAGTTCAAAAAGCAGTTCATTTGTTTGTTTTTAAACACCGCCTTCCCACAAACTGAGACAAAATAAGGCAGGGGGAATGAGAAGGGCAACGAAAGGGGGAAACACGACATTCCCAAGTAGAAAAGACCCTAAGAGAAAAAAGGAGATATTTTCCAGATGCAAAGAATTGCTTCATTGGCCCCCAACAAGCCAGGGCTGTTCATGTACCCACCTGTATTTAGCGAACAAGGAATTGAGGAGCAAACCTATGGCTTGTATATTTGCTTAGCCCAATGTGGGATAAGAGGAACTACTGCTCCCTGCATCCATGGCAAGTGCTTACACCAGCCTCTCCCAAGCTGGTGTCCTCTGGGTGTTTTGGAGGACAACACAGCCGTGCTGGCTGGGGCTGATGGGACTTGCAGACCAGAACATCTGGAGAGCACCAGGTGGAGGAAGGCTGGTTTACACCATCATAGGCTGGCCCCTCCTCACTCTGAGATGTTTACTTGTGAGGCATATGTGAGCCATGTCCCTTTTCTACAAAAGAAAAGACAGAAGAGAAATGTGGAATAAGATGTTCACATTCTTAATATTATTTTGTAGCCCTTTCCAACAGAAATGAAGATACATCAGTAAGGCTTGGCAGGATCCGCCCAAGAAAAATTTGACAGTAGTGCAATCAATTTGTTTAGCTTGTGGTTTCTCCATAGTCATGCCGGTAATGACAATATTCTGTAAATATTCTGTGTGTTTACCTGGATCTGTGCATTTTGTGCCTTATTCATGAAAATGATTTCCTTTCCTTTTTTAAAAGAAAACCCTACACTAAACCCCTGTCAAGTGTTCTGGGTAACAGCACATCACAATTCCCCACATGCCAGCTGTAAGTTCTCTCAACAGTATCCGAAAAGATGAAAGAAAGGGGGGGGATATCCCCACAAGAACAATTAATTAACAATGAAAAGGCAGCCTCTAAGCTGAGGAGACAGCAGCATTAAATCAACCTTTTTCGCACTAAACACCCCACCCCTAACTAGCTTAAGGATCAAACAGTTATAATGTGAAATCATATGAGGTTTCTGGGGTAATGGAACACCTGCTAAAGCTGAGCACGCTTCTTACTGGGCTGCTATGGTACGTGTTTGCAGCTGATGTTCATCACAGATGGTGATCTTAGCTTGTAAATGATGCCCTAGTACTTGTATGCTGAACGTTGCCATCAGCATATAGCCCACACAGGGGGATAGTCGTGAGCTGATAGGACAAGTACCTTCCATCCAAAACACTGGCTTCTATTTCATGTTAATCAGGGAAAGAAAAGATCTCCGTCTCTCTCTGTCTCAAATAAAAGGGATCCTTGTTCCTTAATATATAGAATTATTTTCCCTTTTCCATTTTGTATGTTGACCATTGAAGACCTTTACTCCCCCCTCCAAAAATACTTAGGATCGTTTTCCCCCCACCTAAAAATATTTTCACTCTTGCAACTAATAATTTTAAAATGAGAATCAAATGACAAAAAAAAATTGACTTCACTTTACAAATAGTAATGAATAATACATACTTGTGTGAAACGGAAACATAAATGTTATGTGAACCCAAATAACTTTCTGTAACATTGTGCTGCCTTGTTAGATGGTAATGTGAGTTCGCTCAGTATTTATGTTGAAATCTTTTTAACATTCAACATAGTCTTTATTCTGTTAATTTATAATTTTTGTTGGGTTTTGGGTTGGGGTTTGTTTTTTTTTTAATTAAAAAATAAATAAAAAACATGCTTTATCCATTTGTGCAAAGGTAAATGCAGATTGTATCTTTTTTAATGGTACAGCTTATAAAAGTAACCCTAAAAAAAAAAATGAAAGCTGCTCTATATGGTCTATAGAGTACTTTAACATGTATAGATATCTTGTAAACTTGTATTGTGGATGTGTAAATAATACGTCCTTTTGGGTTTTTAACACCGCATGTAAAGTCAAAATAAACTATTCAAAAGTAGCAAGCATCTCACTTGATTATACGTTTAAAAGCAGTCAGCATAACCCAATCCCTATGCTAAGCTTTGGGGAATGAATGGGAAACTGCACATAGGTAGCTGCAGCCCATTGCCATTGCCCTCTGGTCAGGAACCATCTACCGAAGTGAGTAAAGCCATCCATGCTGGGAGGAGGAGTTCATTTCATACAACATAGCACCTGCCATCTCCAAGAACCCACTGAATTGGTGGCATTATGTCTTTTAATGCAGCTTGCTGTTATTTTCCTAGGACTTGCACATACAACCTACACATGCTAGTCTTTTAACCCTGTTTCTGAAGTTTCAAGATGGGCAACTGCATTTACCTCTGTGTCTTTTCACTGTTCATACCTGATTCATAGAATAGGCAGGGATACCGGGCATATTATGACACCAATGGTCCTCCAGATTACAGGCGTTGATCCATATTTGGCCCGCGGCATCCTTGGGCAGCTGCTGGAGCCACATCACCCTGACAGTGTGTGTGCCAGTCCTCATTGTCACCACCAATATCGAATCCCAGCTGCCATTTTGTTTTCCCCTCAATGTGCCAAAATAAACATGCTGTCTGGATCATCATGGGAATGATGAATGACAGCTGGCATCTTCTTACAGTTAAAGAAAACAGCCTACCACTCTGCTATGCTACAGGTAATCAATCTACACAGGAGAGCACCCATTGAAGTCTCCTTCAAACACGGAGCCAGTCCTGTCCATAGTAATCAGTTGGATTCATTCAGAGATTAGCCAGCCTCTATCTGTGGTGCTGTGGTCTAAACCACCGAGCCTTGGGCTTGCCGATCAGAAGGTTGGCAGTTTGAATCCCCGCGACGGGGTGAGCTCCTGTTGCTCAGTCCCAGCTCCTGCCAACCTAGCAGTTCGAAAGCACACCAGTACAAGTAGATAAATAGGTACCACTGCAGTGGGAAGGTAAATGGCCTTTCTGTGTGCTGCTCTGGTTCGCCAGAAGCGGTTTAGTCATGCTGGCCACATGACCCGGAAGCTGTCTGCGGACAAACACCAGCTCCCTTGGCCAATAAAGCGAGATGAGCGCCGCAACCCCAGAGTCGTCCGCGACTGGACCTAATGGCCAGGTGTCCCTTTACCTTTACCTTTATCCACATCATCCAATCCATTTGTCTGTGGATCCATTCCCCACTCCAGATTATCTATCTATCTATGGAAAATAATTCTTTTTGAATACTCACCCACACACATACACAAAAACCTTTATGAAAGTTTTTTTAAAAATAAATAAATGAAAGAATTAGCCCATTGGGGAACAAGGTTCTACAGCCCAGTTTGTCCCCTGCTGTGCTAACTTTCTGTTTGCATTGAGTTGCTCACATAAGGGAGCATTCATAAATGTGTTCCGCCAACTGCATGCGGTGTGAAGTGGCACAGTCTATTTTCCCACCTCTGAATTCTCCTGGCCTCATTCTGCTGCTTAAGGCTTAAAAAGGGGTTTTGTAGCACCAGTTGCACAGTGTTCCCTGAATCTGAAATGCTAACAAATCCTGACTCTGTGAGTGGAATGTCTATACTGAGCCTTAAATAAAATTCGTGGAGAGTTCTGATTTTATTAATGTACGCTGAGCTGCCACAATCTCAATGACTTATAGAACAAGCATGCATTTGATCCCACGGGCACCCACATTTGTTGTGGGAGGCACATAATTTGTACAAGCAGGGAACACAAATTCCCAATACCGCCTCCCGGGCTCTCTTGGCCAGCTTTTGACAACTGCTGTGCCACCCATTTCATCCAGTTTCTTCAGTGGTGCTGAATTTTACTGGTATAATTCTTCTAGAGAAAGAAGCAAAGGTAAATCTACCAAAGGGATCAAATTTCCTGGCTCCTTTGACAACAAGCACTGCATACTTTCAGGGGGGGAGAAGAAAGAAGAAGGGATGCTAACCTGAGGAGGTGGGCTGAGTATGAAATGTAAATACATGGAAGCTTAACCTACAACTTTTTACAGGCCAAGAGATGTGCACTTGTTTAAAATTAAGTTCATAATACTGTTCTGTTCATACATACACCATCTGAGCAGCAGGGCACTAAGAACTGCTGTTAAAATGTCAGTTTCCTTTACAGAAGAGAGATCAGAGTATTTATGGTGTCTTTCCACTGATCTGTTTATTTCAGAAGTCACCAACATCGTACCCCCAAAGCAAATATGCTTGCAAAAATCCACAAAGCATGAGACCTTATTTGCTCTTCTACATTAAGCATGGCTTATCAAACATGTCCATATTTCAGTAAATGTACAGATTGGGTACCTGCCCACCCACCCATTCAAGACAGAGTTGTACAAAGAGCTGCTTTCTGTGAATATGGTGAACAATGTCTACACCATTTTGTAGTCCTGCCTTGTTTAGATGTGGCAGCCATTTTGTGTTATGCTACACCCCCATTTTTGTGCCCACACACTTTCTCAAATTTACATATGTGCCCCCTGACCCCCAAAAGTTGGTAGCATGTAGTGTATTTAAAGATGGTAGACCTCAAAGAAGTAAAAAAAGCCCTGGACAGTTAAGTCCAGTCAAAGGTGACTGGGTTTGCAGCGCTCATCTTGCTTTCAGGCTGAGGGAGCCAACATTTGTCCACAGACAGCTTTCTGGATCATGTGGCCAGCATGACTAAACCACTTCTGGCACAACGGAACACCGTGACGGAAGCCAGAGCGCATGGAAATGCCGTTTACCTTCCTGCCACAGTGATACCTATTTATCTACTTGCACTGGCGTGCTTTCGAACTGCTAGGTTGGCAGGAGCTGGGACAGAGCAATGGGAGCTCACCCCGTGGCGGGGATTCGAACCACCGACCTTCCAACCAGCAAGCCCAAGAGACTCAGTGGTTTAGAACATAGTGCCGCCCACGTCTGTATCAAAGAAGCATGATATGAAGATGCAGAAGGGAGCACATAAGCATTGCCAGTTTCTCACCAACATCAGGGTCAAACTTAATTATTCCACTCAAAACTCTACTTGCAGTTCATCTATTGCTATTTTTTAAAAAAATGCAAAATACTGAGAGCTATCCTCTTGGGGAAATAGCAGCTTCAGTTGGGTACTTTTTGTAAACACAGCATCATGGGGAAAAAGGAGGTTCACCCATCCTTCACACACAGCATAGTTCCCCTTCTGATTCTCCACTGCCACTAGCAAATTTAATCTCAAGTAGCAGCAACATGGGATTTCACTACATGCATCATCTGATTTGGCCCTTAGTCCTGTCCTTGTGATTTTAGTCCCTGTTCCAGAAACCAAACTCTGCTACTCTTGCAACATTAATTTTGGACCAGAGAAAATCTGCACAGAAACACACTTTTTAAAAAGGTAAGTTATTTGACCTTTAGGGTCTCAACCCAAAGACTAACAGAGCAGCAGACAGAGGGGGAAATTCCATGGTAGAGCAACCACCAGAATCAAAGCCCTGCCAGCTTATTTATGGTACTTCCTTCCACCCCCACCCCCAGAGGGGCAGAGGGCCTTCTCGGTAGTGGCGCCCTCCCTGTGGAATGCCCTCCCACCAGATGTCAAAGAGAACAACAACTACCAGACTTTTAGAAGACATCTGAAGGCAGCCCTATTTAGGGAAGCTTTTAATGTTTGATGTATTACAGTATTTTAATATATATTTTTGGAAGCCGACCAGAGTGGCTGGGGAAGCCCAGCCAGATGGGCGGGGTATAAATAATAAATTATTATTATTTATTATTATTATTATTATTATTATTATTATTATTATTATTATTTTGTTGTTGTTGTTGTTAATGGTAAGGAATAAGTTCCAGATTTAGTGTAGTTTAGAGCACAGTGTCTGGGTTCGTTCATGTGTGGCGTGGGAGTCCTTATCCATCACATTTGGTCCTCTCCCTCAAAAAAACCAAGGGGCATGGGCTTATTCCACTTCTCCTCTCACAACAACCCTGGGAGAGGAAATATCTGAAGGGGAGAAAGAGGCTCAAATTCCTTCTGGGATCTAACCAAGTGTGCAACATGCATCCTGATTGGAAACATTGGGTCACAGAATACCCCACTTAGCCCGATACTCGCAGTCTTGCTCTCCACTGAGATGATTACATAAAGATCCTGCAGCTTCAGGTCAGGGTGATAATAGGGCCCTAGCGATGCTTTTTGTCAGATTCCGACCTTGCCCAATGTCAGAGACGGGAAACAGAGCCTTGAGTTTTGCTTCTTTTCAGCGCTTGTCTGGCAATTTTGAGAGCCTCCCGTCCCTGATATGTGAAGGCCTTCATCATCTTGTCTGATAGAGGCATAACGTACTCCAAGCAAGACAAATATTAGAGGGGACATTTCGGAAATTTTTTATTGATTGCATGCATACTCTGCTCTTTCCTCCTAGAATTCCCCTCACAGAATTACGGTTCTCAGAGTAGTTTAACAGTCAATCCTTCTTCCCAGGGAACGACAGGGGGTCCCCTAAAACTCTCAGAACCCTTTACAAACTACAGATTCCAGGATTCTTTGAGGGAAGCCATGGCGGTTCAAAGTGGTATGCTACTACTTCAGATGTACAGTGCACATGAGGCCTGAATTCAGTAGCAGTGAGTATGTAATTACATCTAGAATTGGAATCTGAAACACCTATTGTCATGGTAATGGGTGCAAGGTGACCACAAGCACTGGTATAGACAGTTCTGTTTTTGAAGGGCTGACAGTCTTCCATTTGAAGGAGTCCTATGTTTGAAGGTCCTGTATACCTGAAGGAGCGTCTCCATCCCCATCATCCAGCCCGGACACTGTGCAGAGGGCCTTCTGGCGGTTCCCTCCCTGCGAGAAGTGAGGTTACAGGAAACCAGGCAGAGGGCCTTCTCAGTAGGGGCACCCGCCCTGTGGAATGCCCTCCTACCAGATGACAAGGAAATAAACAACTATTTTACTTTTAAAAGACAAACTTTAGGTAAGTTTTTTATGTCTGATGCCATATTGTTTTTAATATTCTGTTGGAAGC